CAAAGGAAATTGCAATGAGTTGAAGTTTTTGATACGAACAGCTTAAATAATAATAATAATAACTTGACGCATCATACACACGGTCGTCTGATTCCAAACTAGGCAGAGCCTGTGCTATGGTAACCAGACTGTTGATAAACATACTTATATATTTTTAAATACAAACATATATGTATTATAAATAAATTACACCCAGAAACAGAACAAATGATGGTGCTCATGACATGATTATTGGAATTGAACCCACCACCTCTGGATTAGCAGTCAGGGTCAGTAACCAATAGACCGGCAGGCCAGTCTTTTCTCTCGCTTTCCTGAAGTCCGTGGGAATGATTTCATGAAAAGGGACGGAAGTGTGTAACAGTAAGCAGGAGAAGCGCGCGCTATTTGATTTGACCAATGAGCGCAGTTCTTGTGTCCAATGGTAGGTGAAATGTCAGATGTTACACGTATGTAAGGCTCAACAAGTTTTTTTTATCACGTTTTTGAAATGATTAATTTCCACATTCCTTTGTTTGCAAAACTTGTAGAGTGATGAATATAAATATTTATTTACATATATATGTTTTAATTAAGTCGACATTTTGATGATATATGACACAAACGTAATAAAAATTTAACCGGTTTCCTTACTTAGGAATTAATTACGTAAAAGATTTGCATGTGCTATCATATATGAATATATTTTCACAAAATGGTTTACATTGTTAATAATTTGTGTTTGTTACTTTAATTAACTTAATTCTCATTGTTTGTTTGTATTTTATGTATTTAAATTATTATTTATAAACACTTTAAATTAAAGCTTCGTTTTGTTACATTAAAATTACATTGAATAGAAATGAGGAACCAAATTGACGCAAATAATAGCATCATTATAAAACCGCCGACACATTTTTTTTTAAAACAACTGCTCTTTAAGACTGTTCTAATAAGCCCAAACATGGTATATATGCTGTAATTTTCTGAGGTGTTGGCTATCCCGTAGACTACTTGTTGCAGCAGCAAGTTCCAGGTTATCATGTCGTGGGAATACCATCAAATAAACAGTATACCAAATTTCAAGTCAATTGGACCTGTGGATTTCAGTAAGATCCCTCCTTAGCTATAAATTTTGAAGGGTGATCTTCAAAACTTATAGTTAAGAACCATCTCAGAAAAAAGTCACATCGAAATTAGTCCACCCGTTCGGAAGGTATGATCCTACAGACAGACAGATAAACAGATACAGAGGTTAGACCTTTAACACCCCTCGTTTTCCTTTTTGAACTCGAACGTCGTCGAACTTTTTGAGTTTTTGAAGTGCACACAAACCAACATACTATATTTATACATATAATATATATAAATAATTTATTAATCACATGAACAGCCTATAATAGTCCACTGCTGGACATAGACCTCTCCTTAGAAAGTAGGTTTAGGCCTACTATACCACGCTGGCCAGACGGGTTAGTATAGAGTTTGTGTCAAGTTTCCTTCTCTTTGCAGTGCTGTTGTCCTGCGTAGTTTGTTCCCTTAGTCGTCTATTACGACACCCATGGGATGAATAGGGGTGGTGACATTCCGTATTCTTAATCCGTTACCACACGGATATGTAATGAAATTATGAATTATTATGATAAGTTATGAATGTTTAATAAAGAAATAAAATAAGAATCACAAAATAAATGTGCAGTCGCATTGAATTAATTAGTACCTAGTATACTAGATACATAGTTTATTTTAAATATCTTTAGTTTCTAGCTGTAAATCAGCTAAAAAACTCAGTAATTTCAATAATAATAATAGCTTCACAAATCTCACACACGGTCGTCTGGCTCCAAACTAGGCAGAACCTGTTCTATGGTAACCAGATTACTGATAAACATACTTATATATTTATAAATACATATTTATCATAGATAAATTACACCCACACACAGAACAAAACATCGCGTAATTATTTGTCCTTATTTTTTTTTTCTGTGCGGAAATCCCCTCAGATACCACCCACCGCTGGTTATGTTGGACTCGATCCGACCAAAAACCGCATGCCGTCTCGGGTACCTGTTGCCGGGGGTCCAGGTGTACCCTAGGAAGGAAATCACTGATACCCCAACGTACCTCGGGCCATCTACGGCGTGTAAATGACCCCCTTCTCGTAATTATTTGTCCTGGGTAGGAATCGAACGACCACGACCTCTAAGTAATAATAAGTTTAAGTAAAGATTAATTTAACATATGTTACGAAAACGTGAAACTTATAATAAATGTAATTAACAACTAACATAACAATAAAGTAGAAAACTTGTACTCATTGGGTATAAAATTTTAGTTGTCAGAATTCTTATACAATAATTACATACCTACAAAATGAAATCGCCTAAGTTCATGTGTTAACCTGCATATTTTGAACTATTATTCTTTAAACTTTCCATAAGCTGATGGGTAAACGTTATAAACTGGACGCCTGTAGTTTTTCATAGCAAATTTCATCCTGCCGGCTAAAGCGTGAATCGAATCATGGAGAATGACTAGTGATCTACCTTTACTCACCCAGAGGGTTTCTCTATTTTTATTATATGGGGAGTACAAGAGGGGGTCAAATATAAGCCGTGGATAGCTCGAGGTACCAGTACCAGGGATTTCCTTTCTAGGGTATTCCTGTTTCCCCGAGTACTGGTACCTGGAGACGGCGTGCTTTATTTGGTCGGTTCGAGTCCGACATAACCACGCCACTGGTGGGTGGATCCGAGGAGAGTTCCGCACAGATAAAAGGGAGGTTAATAAGCAGATGTCTCACCTGATGGTAAGGTGATTGCCGCCGCCCATAGATACATGCAACTCACAAGATTCAAGTGCGTTGGCGCTCTTAAAGTTCTTTCTGTTAATTAAGATTGCATAATATCGGTTCTCTGTGAGGCCGCGGTACCACGTGGTATTACGTTACTCGACTTGTGTGATACCACCACCTAACATGTGTGCCGAAGCATGGCTCTCCCACTAACTGCACGGATGGCTTAGTGGTCTAACCGCTTCTTACTGCGCCGAGTGTTGTAGGTTCCATCTTCACATGGGACAACATTTTGTGTAATGCACAAATTGTTGTTCTGAGTCTGGGTGTTATTTGTCATTTTCATGAATGTTTATAGAGTGCGACACAAGATATTTGCATGGTGCGGCAGTTGTCTACAAATAAATATGTATAGGCCAAATATCCGCCAAGGTCCGCGTGGTGACGGGTTAAGAATAGGGATTGAAACCACCCCCATTCATCCCGTGAGTGTCGTAAGAGCCGACTAAGGGAGCAAACGATACAGGACAACAAAACTGCAAAGAGAAGGACAACTTGACACAAACCCTGTACCAATCCGTCTGTCCAGCGTGGTATAGTAGGCCAAAACCTCTTCTCTAAGGAGAGGCCTATGTCCAGCAGTGGACTATTAAAGGCTGTGGATGTGATATGTGACTAAATCTACTATTACAAATAAATATGTATAAGCCAAGGTTAGGTTCAAGGCCTATTCCTAACTCGGTGACTTGCTTTTTAGAAGGCAACAAACAAAAAATTCTTTGTCCTTATTAGTTTCAATTCAACGTTAACATAAAACCCCAGGATGCGAAATCAATTCATCTAGTACACAATGGCGATGCGTAATGTGCTGCATCGTTGTGAATTGTGATGTTCTTTGTGATTCAATTAAAAAAAAATATGCTAACATTATGCCATGTGCGCGTTCGCGGGTCGACTACTGATGTTTCCTTGTTCAAACCGATCGCATTTTTAGGTGGTCCATATATGTTAACAAAACTTGGCCTTCTCATATTTTTACCCGACTGTACTAGAAGGAAGATAACTCGTTTGAGTTTCCATTGAGGCACCACATTTGAATTTTAAGCTTTTGGATGCGTCAGCAGTTACAAAACGTTCTAAAACAATTTTAAATTCAGTCTCTAGTTTGTAAAAGTAGCCACTTAAAAGTTACAATGGTCAAAGGTGCTCCCTCAGTCGTGACGGGCATCCAAATCTCATTTCTTTATTAAATATCAACCTTACCCGTTCATCCACATTATATTCATCAACTCACATAAAAATGGAAAAAATAAATAAAAGACACTATCCCGCATCACATTTCCACTTAAGAAATAACCTGTGCTAAATTAATCAAAAGCATTCTTGTATTATATGTAATCCACAATCGAGTAACAGGCCTTCTGACATAGTTTACGTTTTATTGTGGATTTAAATTTGTTTAAACTTAAGTATTGTATATTCTTTGGGATTTTATTATGAAATCTGATACATTGACTTCGAAATTACTTGTTTATCTTTTGGAGCCCAGAGGCAGGTATAACAAGTTTTTCTGCGAGCAAGTTATGCTCGCGAAGGAGACGGCGGAGCGGGACCGGGAGAGGTTTAGGACTCTCCCGGCCCGCCAGGCCCGGGAACGGGCCAGGTACCGCAGGCGCCGGAGGTCGCAGAACGACCTCCGTCCTCCATAAGCGCAGGCCTGGGGGTGACAGGTGAGGCCATCTGTCACCCTAGCAGAAGCAGGCCGGGGTGGCGGCGAGCGCGTTGCGAAGCGCGCTCGCTTCCAGGGAACACAGGGAACATGGGGTTCCCACACGAGGGGGGGGGTCGTCTACTCGTCTGTAGATGACCCGAGGTATGTCGGGGCACCAGGGACTTCCTTTCTAGGGTATACCTGGTTCCCCGACTATTAGTACCCGGCGACGGCGTGCGGTTTTAGTCGGTTCGAGTCTGACATGCCACCGACAGGTGGTATCCGAGGGGATATCCGCACGGAGAAAAAAAAAAAGAAAAAAAAAAGGTATAACAAGTTTATTTCTATTTCTGGTATTTTTGTTTAACTTTGTTTTTAAGAACATTTATATAATACATTTTATATAAGTACTTAAATACTAAGTCTGGTCGTAAATACTGTCATAAACTTTCAATGTAATAAAAACACTATACATAGATAGATATACTCTATTATAATTATTTAAAAATAAATATGAAATGCAAGGTAATTAAATGTACAATACAATTATGTTTACATTATTTGAAATGCCCTCGCACTTTTCGAATACAGTCATCGATCGCAGCATGCACCACATTCATATCTATTATTGCCGGTGCTTTAAAAACAGATTCTCGGAGAGACTCCAAATTCTGGTGAGGTTTAGTGCAGACTTTCTCCTTTAAATGTTGCCATATCTTGTAGTCCAGTGGGTTTAAGTCTTCATGCCCGATGAAGTCAATTCCACGGGCGGTCAACTACCGGCCTAATGGCTGGTGCAGAGTCCTCTTGGAATATCCAAGGTCTGTTTTTGAACATTGTTTTAAAATGACGTTCCACTATGTTTATTATTACGGTATTACGGTACGGCTCAGGAGAGTTGTGTAAAGTTATTATTATGACAAGTTTTGTTTCTTTTTATTTCAGTGCCCAAAGGACCCAGCCATGTCGCCGGGCACATCACCCTCGATAGACGCAGAGCGCACTGAACTCCTCGGCTCCCTAACTACCGAGCAGCAACAACGCACCAGCGCCAGAGTTATTAAAAAGCTTCGATTAGAACCACCAAGCGATAGAGACAAGAGGCCTTTGAAGAAAGAAGGAACTGACGGTGAGAGTCCAAAATATTGTACACTGACTAGAGTTTAAGTCTTGTCACAATAACAATAAAATTTAACTTCTATGCAAAGGAAGCACTAGTTTATCGAAATGTAATTGTGTATGTATTTTGTGTATTGTAAGTACTTTTTATATTATTACTGGGATTTCTGAAGGAATAATGCTAACCAAGGCCTGCTAAAAACTCTTAACACACATAAATCGTATGAGTTTGCTAAGTATTGTGAATTATCTGGCGAACTCCGATGGTTTTTCTTCCTAATAAAAAATTGTTAAACAAAGTTATGACACGCGGGATGGCAAGTGGTTAACTATGCTAATAAACCTTCGTAAAACCATTAATGATACCTCTGCGTAACGGACCTTAACCTGTTCTGTTCCATATCCACGAATATATAAAAATACTAGCTTTTGCACGCGGTTCTACCCGCGTATATGTCGGTTATCGAAGTAAAAAGTATCTGCAAATATTTGTTTCGAAGTTTGGGTGTTTTCTATGTATGTTTTACAAAAAAAGAGTAAAAGTATTCTGTCAGTCAATCTAGCTTTCATAGTACAAGCTCTGCTTAGTTTGACGTTAACGTTAACTAGATGGCGTTTGTGTCAAATGTCCAAAGTATTATCATTATATCATATCTTTTTACAGATTTACCAGAATGCGATACTCCAAACAAGATAGACGAGAAAGAGCTCAAGTTTCCCACCGTTAAGCAACGGATGCCCAAGGCATTATGGTCTATTGACGAAAAGAACTTATTCTTCGAGGCCCTGAACGAGTACGGAAAGGATTTCGATGCTATCACCGCCTACATATGCGCTAAAATGAAGAAGAAGGGGATGCCAGATAACCTTAAGACCAAGACTCAAGTCAGCCATTTTTATTATAGAACGTGGCATAAGCTCTCGAAGCATGTTCATTTTGATGAAAGTAAGTTTTATTTTTTTAAAGACCACTCCCGCATTAGGAATAGATCGTGTGTCGCGGGGGACTTTACAAACATACATGAAACGGACACAAAGAACACCCAGACTCAGAACAACAATTTGTGGATCACACAATGTGTCGTCCCATGTGGGGATCGGAACCACAACACTCGGCGCAGACCGCTTAAACCACTACGCTATCCGTGCAGTTCGTTTGTTACTTCGTTACGCCTTATTGGACCAACTAATCTTTATACAATTTTGTATATAGTTTTCGTTATTTGCAACAAAATATAAACAGCAAATATTTCTGAACTATGTAAATTACTTTCATACGCATCTAGTTTATTATATACTAAAATGTTCCTAAACATATGCAGAAGCCGTTAGCGAAACAGGAATCAAAATAAGTCCATTATTTTTTAAGAAAAACTCAAATATACAAACATATTGTGTTATACGGATCAAAAATAGACCGCAGGTTATATTCCTAGCCCGAGAGTAGTCTTTTTAAATAATAAAAAAAATCCTCATTCATTTGTGAACCGATTTTGTAAAGTTCCCCGCGACACAGGATATATTGCTAATGCTGAATAGCTTGCAGGTGACATCTGGGGCGGTATACTATGGGGATCTTGTGTCAACTAGGGTGAATTTCCGTGCGTTTAGGCGATTCTGCCATACATATTATAGAAATCAAACATAGCTCACGTAGGACCCGTAATATTTGTGGCCGTGGTGCTTCCCTGTTTAAAAGGGTGTATGCCCATTTTACTTCATTTTGTCTCCCGCTTTGCTAAGGAGGGAAGTGGATTTACTGTATTTCCAACTCCTCCAATTTTCTTCTGATTAATTTCGTTGCGGGTTCCAAGACAGTTTACTTTCTTCCTGGGACTTCCCGAGTGTCATAACTCGGTGTGTTCGTGGGTCACTGCTGTGGATCCTGGTGTACAGGAGTTACAGTGGTGGGCGTGTGGGTGGGATTAGTCCCTAATGCGGGAGTCTTTTTTTTTTTTTTTAAAGAAAGAAACAAACTGACACGTATCCAAACTATTAGTTATGTTACAATATTACAAACGTAAGTTGAGATTAAAACAATACTACCATAGATAAATGGACTTGCCATTAATAAAAGTATAATGCGGATGTACATTTTTAAATGTAATTCACCATATTTATTACAATCGATATTACTTACCAACTTTTTTATAAGCTTTTTAGGATTCAGTAAGCCTAAGGAACCCTTATAGTTCCGTCGTGTTCGTCTGTTTGCCCGTTGTGCTAAAAAGCATAACACACACGGGTACATACATTAATTACTTACGCCGACTAGTAGAGTTCGTAAAAGTGGTACGGAACCCTGCAATGCGCGTGGTGCGACACACACTTTGTTGTTGTGACCTGATAGTCAAGATAAAAAAATCTCTTGAAATGCTATTAGGTAGGTATTTCGATTTAGGTACGCATGAAATATAGTAGAAAACTATCTGGTACCCGAGACTTCTCATTCGCGTGGAATTTGAAAAGCGCTGCCTTAGTGGGTTCGATTCCCGGACCGGGCAAAATTTTAAACGGTTCTTCTGACAGAAAAATAGCCTTAGTTACTCCTTGTATAGACACCTACCTGCTAGTAAAATATTATCAAAATCGGGCTAGCCGTTTACAACATTACAAGGAACGAACACAAAGACAAGTCATTTTTAAACTGATTTTTAGGCATAGGTATCGTGCAAATAACCATGTGAGCATAAAAAATACCTATTATTTTGTCATTACGAAACAGACACTTTAATTTTATTTATTTGTATAGATTTTGACTTATATACATAATTATCTAGAAACCTTCGCTTAGATCACATACATTATACTCCCCAACAGACGTGAAGAAAGTTGCCCAAGAACTGTACGCGTTGATAAACTATGGAGAACTTCGCAAGAAGCTGGTCTCGGTAAGTGAGAAGACGTGCGCGCGCCTCGGGGAGATGGTGCTGTGCGGCAGCATCGTGGTGCGCGCGCGCGGACGGAACATGCGCGTGCGCACGCCCATGTGTAGAGCACTGCGACGTCTTAACCAGATAACAGGTACGTTTTGTAGATCTTTACTCTGATATTATAAGATAATTAACTACTTAAAAGGTTATATTTATACAACGCCTTGTTGTGTCTGCATGGGAAGGATTTGCACATAATCGTCACGCTGGGCAGGCGGGTTGGCGATCGCAGGGCGTAGTTTGTCGCACCGGTGACGGTGCTGCCTGTCATTGGCCTGTTGTATTTAGCTACAAAATTAAAAAGAAGGAAAATCGATCTAAGTGGCGTGCAATGGGAGAGGCCTATGTCCAGCAGTGGAGTGCGATAGGCTGATGAACTTGCCTTGCCTTGTTTGAGGTCGAAAGAAGGACGTAGAATATCTTCGATTTATTATCTTTAAAAAAATAAAAGCTGTTTAGAGGGAAAAATGTTTAATTATGTTTAGGTATCTTTGATTTCATAATGATTTTGAAAAAGTTGAAAATAATGTTTTTTAACAGGTGTCTTGAATAATTATAGTATAGTAGGTCAAAATCTTCTTTCTAAGGAGAGGCCTATGTCCAGCAGTTGACTATTAAAGGTGACGATGAGAGTAGAGGCCTAGGGTATAAACTAAGTTTATGCCTTTTTTATGGGTTTCGAAAATCGTACTTTTGATTTTGTTAATTTGTATGGGAGTTGTTTAAGAGCTTTTTATTTTGTTTGGGTTGGGTTTCGAATTTTCAATTTTTGTGTCGTCTTCAAAACTTGAAGCTGCATTTCTTGTATAACAGCAGAGGGCTTCATAATTTATGGCAGCATTTATGTTTTTACAAAAAAAAAGAAGTAACGTCTGTAAAGTTCATCTATCGGTTTGCTCTGTATGTGTATGCGTGCGTTGAGAGGCAGTAGTGCAGTGTGAGGTCGTGTGTCAGAGGTGGCGCTGGGCGCGCGCGTGTGCGGGCGCGCGCAGGTGGTGCTGCGGGCGCGCTCGGCGGGCGCGTGGGCGCGCGTGCTGGGCGCCGCGCACAACCCGCGCGCCGCGCTCGCGCTGCCGCTGCGCGCGCGCCTGGCCGCGCTGCTCGCCGCGCTGCACCGCCGCTGGCGACCGAACGTATCCTTTACGACCCATCGAGCTTTCGTTTCTATACCTGAATAGAACAACCAGCAGACTCCACTTTTTGGACCGACAGATTCTTTAGTACCGACCGAACTTCCTTAAAAGTAAAGAAAAACCTTTACTCTGTCTTTTACGATGTTTTTAACGACGGAACCCAAAAACGATTAAAATAGGAATATAAAATTTAAAACTTAAAATTTATTGATAATATAAAAAGATATAAAATTTACGTGAAACGACTGCTTCAAGATACACGCGTCATCTTTGTAAAACAAAACCTAAGCAACAACAATTCTAATGATACTGGTCGACGGAATAAACTAACAAAAGTTAAAACTTAATAAACATTAAGGTCGAAATTGAACCACTGGACCATCTTTATCTACACTAATATTATAAATACGAAAGTGTGTCTATCTATCTATTACATCTTCACGCTTAAACCGCTGAAGCGATTTAGATAAAATAAGATGATGAAAGATGAAAGACAGAGGATAGATTTCATCCCAAAAATCATCTTTTAAGGGGGTGAAAAGGGCGATGAAAGTTTGTAATTGTATAGAATTGTGTAATTTTTACTTAACATAGGCTACTACGACAACCGACATTTACGCGGGCGGAGCCACGGGCGAAAGCTAATTTAAAATTAGAAAAGTGTATACTATTGTAAACTATCGAAAATAGCACTAACGATATACTCGTATGTTACATAAATTAATTTTTAGAATTGGCGGCAAATAACAAAATACGTGAGTTAGCTACCTGATTCACCAATCTTCTCCTACACTTTCTAAATGGATTCCATAACTGAAACAGTCTCTTGCCATGCTATCTGAAGACAAGGATTCTGAAGAAATGCTAAAAGATCAAGAAGATTATGCCGAAATTAGCCATCGGCTGTGTGAAGAGAAGGAGCTGAACAGGGAACTCGAAGACCATCTCAACCTGGAGACAGATAGAATTATTGTCGAAGGTAGGAAAAGTGGTCAGGAAATGCCAGTCACCGATAAATTAATTTTAATAATAACTGGGCACATTTCATACACGGCCGTCTGATAGATCATAGTATAGATATGGTATATGTGGAAAGGGAAAGTATATTTATTATCTATAGTTCTAATTATAGGTCAAATTCCACCACCAAGCGATCTATATTTATTACTAGCTGCTGCCTTAGTGGTGTAGTACACATCAAAACAATGTTGTGGTATATTTAATAATGCCATTGTATCTATCTGTAAATTACAAAAGAGTGGCCATGAGCTTGTTTGCCCTTTCTTCTCATAAGGCTCAACCCCTTGGAAACAGGCCGTTGTAGATCGGCTCAAACTCGACCACCACGCGATCTTCAGCTTCCTTTGGTGCTGAAATTCAACCGCCATGCGATTTTCAATTATTATTAAATATCTTAAAAACGTTTGAAATTCTTTCTTGGAATCTTTGGATACAAATTGCTGTAAAGCTTACCTTTTACCTAAATGTATTGTTTTAATATCCGCAGAGCAAACTAGTGGAAAAAAATTAGCCCTCCATCTGGGCCCAAGGCCAGATGCTCAGATCCACCTGCCTGTGATCAGCCCCAGCGAACAGTTGTCCAGCCAGAAGATCTGTTTCTCGTCTTACCTGGAAAGGATGGGTTCCCAGAGAGACAAGGACGGTGGCGGTGAGTGATTTAACGTATTTATTTTTATGAGGAATAATACTGTATTGTTCAAAATTGCTTCGTAAATTACCTATTACTTTTTTAATAATTAAGAGATAAAAATGGTTACTGTGTGTTATCCTTACGAGAGAGACATATACCGTTGCGCAATTTTTTGTAGATCTCTTTAAGATATTCCGTAGATTACATTATTTTGATCTATCTCTCAAGGTGTGTGGAGTGTCACCACCCCTATTCATCCCGTGGGTGTCGTAAGAGTCGACTAAGGGAGCAAACTACTCAGGAAAACAGCACTGCAGAGAGAAGGAAAACTTGAAACAAACCCTATACCAACCCGTCTGGCCAGCGTGGTATAGGAGGCCAAAACCTCATTTCTAAGGAGAGGCCTATGTCCAGCAGTGGACTATTAAACGCTGTTGATGATTATGATGATGTCTCAAGGTTTAGGTAGCATTTACCTCCACCTATAAGATCGTCAAATACGATCGGCACATTTAAATGTAGATTGCGGCGCTATCTCATTGACGCACAGCGGTAACTAAATATGGCCAATGTGAACACTTCCCTTATTTAACGTGAAGTGGTGCATGGCGCATGCTGGTGAGCGCTGAACATGAGCGCTGTCAAGAAGAAAGAGTGTGCACTTTATTGATTTATGTTGTTGTGTATATCGTAGTGTATATTGGCATGGTTATATTAGGTCTTTACCTATGAAATTGCCGTTTTGTATGCAATAAGTGAAAGTACTTATTTTTTCAAACTTTTTTATTTCTGTTATTATTATTTTTATTATCTTGCACCTACCGACTATTACTTTTTCCAAAATTTAGTGTTAGTGTAGTTAGTGGGTAAAAAATTCAATTCCCGAGAGGCAATACCTACAGTTTGTTGCCTCCCGTCCAGCTGATTTTTACAAGAAGGGCATCAATAAACTGCCAATGCGTTGGCAAAGATGCGTCGATTGCGTGGGTGATTACATCGAGTAACAAAAATAAAAAAGGTTGAAAAAATAAGTACTTTCACTTATTGCATACAAAACGGCAATTTCATAGATAAAGACCTATTATGTTATTGATCCTATGATGTATGTACACGGCTTAGCAATTAGGGTCTGCAACTGGTTTTACGCATAGCGTCATTTTGGGCCCAATTGAACACCAGCGTCAGGCTTTCATCTGACACAAAGCTGAATTGGGTCCGTTTTTGGCATCGGTGGTAATTCAACCTTTAAAGTTGTCTAAAGTGTTGTGTTATTGCCAAAATAAACGTTTTTTCTTTTCTTTCTTCCATTTGTAATGTAAGCGCACAAAAAAATTTTCTTTTTTTACTTCACTACAAATCTTTGAAATTCTCCAATTTCCTCTACTGTTATATGCATGTATTATACATGTGTACCCGCCTCTAGAATTAGTATTCGTGAAGACCGCATTAGATCCGTTGCTTACTTTGAGTAAGGTCTAAGCGTACAAGAACAAAAGCGACTTCATTTTATACAATGTAAAGATGTACCGCCTCTATCGTGTTAATGCCAAATAAAACACACACACACACACATACACACACACACACGCACGCACACACACACACACACGCACGCACACACACACACACAACCACACACACACACACACACACACACACACAAACACACATTATTAATTACAATAATACAATTTTCAGTATAAATGTATTTTTACAGCGAAAATTCGAACACCAAAGCGCACACGCAAAGACAGTACAACAGACAAAGAGAAAGAAATAGAACAGAAGAAGTTTAAAATTGAGGATCCTGAAAAACTTATCAATATAGAAGAGACCGCCATAGACGGTATCGAACTGATGGCGAACTATAAAAATCATCAAGAGGACGAAGAAAAGCCCAGCACAGAGGATGAGAAGGAACGAGAGATGACTGAAGAAGATGGAGATAGGTATATTTTTATTTAATAGGTATAAAGGTATATTTTTACCGCAGGTAAAGGCTAGTCCTTTACCTGCGGTTTCTGTCGTGTCGCTCTTGGCAGAGCGTCGTGATCACGTTGGTGGTAGAGATGGACAAAGTCCTTCGTACAACCTCCCGCCATCTCCCTGTTGGCAGACTGTCGGATACAGTCAGACGGCTTCCCATAGCGGATCACACCTAGTCGGTCCAGCGCATAGGTTCCCTAAGAAAAGTTGGAGTTGATGGAATGTAGATTCTACTAATATGGTGTCCGTGTGGAGTAATTAATATAATAGCACTACAGGACATCTTTATATGCAATATTTATAGGCCCGATCCGATCCTGCCGGCCATATGGACATACATATTTTAAACCTCTAATATCTAAAATATTCATTTTAATGATATGCTGTAAAGATCAGTTTTAATCTACATGAAATACATAACGTATCTAACGTATTTAATTGTATAAGGAATAATGTTGTTTGGACTGCACGGATGGCGCAGTGGTTTAAGCGGTCGCCACGCCGCTTCCTACTGCGCCGAGTGTTGTGGGTTCAAACCCCACATGGGACGACACTTTGTGTGATCCACAAATTGTTGTTCTAAGTCTGGGTGTTCTTTGTGTCCGTTTCATGTATGTTTGTAAAGTCCCCCGCGACACAGGATATATTCCTAATGCGGGAGTTGTCTTTTTTTTAAACACAAAAAAAAATGTATTGTTTAAAATAGCTTCGTAAATAACCCATTTTCTTTTGTAATATTTAAAGGATAAAAATGGTTACTGATGGTTATCCTTAGGAGATAGAAATATAAAAAAAGGACTTTTTTGTAGATCTCTTTAAGATATACAATTGCATAGTACATTATTTTGGTCTATCTCGTAAGGTTTAGCCTGCGTTTGCAATGAAAACGCACAAAAACATATTTTTTTACGACAAATCTTTGAAATTCTCGGATTTTCTCTTCTATAATATGCATGTATATCTATTGGTGAAAACCGCATAAAGATCCATTGTTTACAACACAAAAAAGCGACTTTATTTTGTACTATGTAAAGATATGTATGTATTTAGATATACAGGGTGTAAGGGACATATTCAAACCATGATTCTGAGTCGAACATCACTGGAATTTTCTGTCGGAATACCATTTTTTTGTTTTATAAGATTCAATTTTTTTTGCATGAAAATTATATCACAATGAGTAAACAGAACATTTCACCGAAAACAAATGAATAAATATCGCATACGGTCAAACACTACAATGTAATTAATCAAACAGTGGAAGCGCGCGGGGCCTTCCCTCCGGCCGCCAACTTGTGTTAGTGTGCGTAGACTGTTTGCACGGAATACACATGTAGTTATCACCTTTATGCGATACCTACGGGGAATGATTTTTACCTTTGACAATTGATTACATAATTTTTTTTAATTTTCCGGCAGAAAATTCCAATGATTTTAGACTCAGAATGATGGTCTCAATACAGTATTCCAGTATTCGTTACGATGTCCCTTACACCCTGTATATACGACTGTAGTACAGGATCTGCCTAGTTTGGGATTAGACGATCCTGTGTAAAATGTATGAGGCTATTATCATCACGCTATGTTTACTTGTATTTTTTAAGAAATTCAGTTTGCGATGTTCGTATTGTGTCGTGGTACCTGTACCTTTTAACTAACCTATTCTCTACGTCACACAGGGATATAGCCGAAAGGTATAAAGACATATCAGAAAGAGACAAAGACATTTCAGAAAGGGACAAGGACATGTTAGAGAGAGATAAAGATATGTCAGAAAGAGAGAAAGACAGTTTTTCAGAGCTGGAGGATGATGAGAAGTATAATAAGAGTGACACAGACAATGAGAGCGATCAGGGCAAAGACAAGAGTGGAAAAGACAACAAGTTCAAGAATTTGAAGGTACAGGAATAGATGTTATATAGGCTGTACCGTTTTATTTAAGTGTCTATTCACGTGTATATAATAAGCATGATTAGTTTAGAGATTAATACCGTGTGGTACTCGTATTTAGTCGGTTCGATTCCGACTGACCTCTCCACTACAAAACCCGATTGGGGTGCCGTCACCCTACTAGGGTTTGTCGTACTGACGGCACAGGACCCCGAGGGCTCCACACGGACAGAAATACCATAGTTGTGTTACATGATTCAGATTTTTTTTATAATATAATCATCCTTAAACAGTATATTGTATTTTAAGGTTAAATTTCGTATACGACCAAAGAAACGCGGAGGCAGTATGTACACCCTCGTGATGGAGAACTCCGAGGAAGTGAAGAGTGAGGAGCCCAAAGCTGAGGAGCCGATCAAAGTCGAGGATGAGCCTAAGCCCGACATCGACGTGGACCTGGCCCTCAGGCAGATCAGGAAGGGCTGGAGCGTGTACGACGCTGGTGATCTTACTATTGGCGACTTATATCTTATGGTAACAATAACACACAGTATGAATAATCTATACAGGCTGTATGGGACGGTGTAGAACGGACGGACATTATTCTGAATTGATAAGCATTCGAATTTTCTGCAGGTTTTTTTTTGTTTGATTAGGTTATTTATTTATTTATTTGGGAAAACAAACAATAGTATAATGAGTATACATATGAAATCTTTGTAACTAAACTTAACTGATATACTAGTCACTACATTTTCCACAGATTACCTTATAAAATAATTCCATTGTTAACAGACATGAGCTGCTGCCGCCGCAGTTTAATCAATAAGAAAAGCGGTTACTCAAAAGAAAACGTTGGTAACTGAGACAAATAAAGTTTCACTTAAACATACAATAGATAAATCAAAATTAACTTTTATTGCCTACTGCCGATCCTTTAGTACCGCTATTATGTCTCTTTTAAATTTAATCCTATTAAATTATTAACCGCCTTGCCAACTGAATAGAATGCGAATATATTGTATCGTATGTATTTCTTAGATCTGAACTTAAGTGTATATCGTGATTGTACATTTACATATAAGCACCTAGTGTCTGCACTCATGCGCATTTACAGTAATGTTCTGATTTGTTTCATTCAAATTTTCTCTTATTAATCCGTGAACAATGGTGTGGGTTATGTGTTTATACCTCTGTAATATATTTATATATTGCTTTAAGACTTTGACATGGAACTGTTTTTTGTTCCTAATAAACAAATAAAAAATAAATGAAAAAAATAGCTGTCAATCGTTAAGGTCATTCCCCGTAGGTATCGCACAAAAGTAATAACTACATTTGTATTTCATGTAAACAGTCTACGCACGGTAACACAAGTTGGCGGCCGGGGCTGGGGGAGAGGCCCCGTTTCGACTGTTTGATTTTGATTACATTGCAGTTATTTACCGTATGCGGTATTTGTTTTTTTTTCCAGTAAAATGTTCTGTTTACTCATTGTGATATAATTTTTAACCAAAAAACTCTCAACCTATAAAAAAATAATGAATTTTACGGCAGAAAATTCCAACGATTTTCGACTCAGATGATGGTCTGAGTACACTATTTTAGCGTTCGTTACCGACTTACCATCAGGTGATAGGTCTGCTCGTTTGGCTCCTGTAAATAACTAATATTTGTTGCCCAGAACACTAGTAAACTGAGATTTTTTTTGAGGACATCTGACACACAACGCCATCTAGTTTCAAACTAACCACTTGTACTTTGAAAGCTAGATTGACTGATAGAACACTTATATTGTAATTTTTTTTTGTAAATACATAGAAAACACCCAAACTTCGAAACAAATATTTTCAGAGCATACAAACATTTAATCCAACCCGGGAATCGAACCTGAAACTTCAGCACAGCAGTCGCATACGCTACCAGTGCACATACGAGGCAGTCAATTATAATATTTCATCATCATCATCATCAACAGCCTATACTAGTCCACTGCTGGACATAGGCCTCTCCTTAGAAAGGAGGTTTTGGCCTACTATACAACACTGGCCAGACGGGTTGGTATAGGGTTTGTGTCAAGTTTTTCTTCTCTCTGCAGTGCTGTTGTCCTGCGTAGTTTACTCCCTTAGTCGGCTCTTACGACACCCACGGGATGAATTGGGGTGGTGACAATTTGTATTCTTAATGCGTCACCACACGGACAGTATGTATAATATTTAATTGATAAATGATTTAATTGATTGTATTTATTACCTTTCAGTTCGGATCCCGGTCCAAAGTTGAACTAGATTATTGGTGGGCCGAACCAACGCCCCCACTGCCACAGTCACATCGCACACCAACAATATCAGAAAAAGACAAAAGTTGCGACAAGAAAGACAAACCGGATAAAGTACCAGACAAACCACCCGATAAACCCGACAAATTGCCAGACAAATTGGATAAAGCCACTGAAAAGGTCGACAAAGTAGCCGACAAATTGGATAAGATACCCGATAAAGGTGCCGACAGCTCGTTGGAGGATGAAAAAGAGAGAGCTAGAGAGAGTGACAACGATATACTCTCTCCAAAGAACACTTATAGCCAAGATAGTAACGATGGGATGTCGGGGGATGAAAGAAAAAGTAAGTGATAATAAATACCAACTTAATTCGACATCATGGATGGGTCAAGCGGTCACCACGCCGCTTACTACTACCTCGATGTTCCATAGTGCGTCGGCACAAACGAGCCGGCTTGACTGGAGTGGTACCACGCCTCACAGAAAACCGGAATGGCTTAGTAGTTTATGCGGTCGCCATGCCGCTTCCTACTACTGAGTGTTGTGAGTTCGATCCCCACAAGGGACGACACTTTGTGTGATCCACAAATTGTTGTTCTGAGTCTGGGTGTTCTTTGTGTCCGTTTCATGTATGTTTGTAAAGTCCCCCGCGACACAGGATATATTCCTAATGCGGGAGTTGCCTGATAATATTTAAAAAAAAAGAAAGATATATAGCTCCGCCCTCGTGTATGTCCTTTCCTTTCCTTCCTCAAGAATCAAACTATCTGCATACCAAATTTCACCTAAATCGGTTCAGCGGTTATTGATTTCCCATGCAAACTCCCACCCCTTTTAAACCGCTTTGATTTGTGGGATAAAAACTATCCTATGTAACTTCCTGGCACTCGAACTGTCTCTATACCAAATTTAATCTAAATCGGTTCAGCGGTTTAAGCTCGAAGAGTAACAGACAGACACACTTTCGTATTTATAATATTAGTATGGATATGCATCGGGGTGGGAGATCTCTCGCTCGGTAACATGATTGCGGCCATGGTGCGGATCGAGAGTACGTGGAACTCCGCCGTCTCCTTCTGCGAGCAGGTTATGCTTGCGAAGGAGATGGTGGAGCGAGACCGGGAGAGGGTCAGAACCCTCCCGGCTCGCTAAGCCCGAGACCGGGCCAGGTACCGCAGACGGCTCGGGCGCCGGAGGTCGCAAACCGACCTCCGTCCTCCATAAGCGCAGGCCTGGGGGTGACAGGTGAGGCCATCTGTCACCCTAGCAGAAGCAGGCCGGGGTGGGTAATGGCGCGACGCGCTACGGAGCGCGCGCCCTTCTGAGCAGGAAGGGAACATCCGGGTTCCCACACAGGAGGGGTCATCTATAAGCCGTAGATGGCCTGAGGTACGTCGGGGTACTAGGGCTTTCCTTTCTAGGGTATACCTGGTTCCCCGACTACTGGTTCCTGCTGACGGCGTGCGGTTTTTGGTCGGTTCGAGTCCGACATAATCACCCACTGGTGGGTGGTATCCGCACAGAAAAAAAAAGTATCAATATGCAGGTACATTATACCTTATAACTGATCGTGTTCATCACACATTTGTCATGGGTTCGAATCGGGTCGATTCCCACCCATGACTTCAGTAGCTAGGGTAACTACCCACTAGATCAATATTTAGTATATGATTATCTACCAGGTGAACAGCTAGCATCACCAGACCACAAGTCATCATCATCGTCGTCAGGAACGTTCAAGCTGGTGAGCAAGCTCATCAACAGGCCACAGGGCCCTGCGCCACCGAACGGATTCTCTTTGTTGAGTGACAGGTAACATTAGGTTTATAGCAATTGGCCTGATCCTCCCCCCTTCGGGATAGAGCCTAGTAGATGCGGCGTCAATCCGAGGGGAACCTGAAATTACACGGTCCGGGTCCTCCCCAGAGTAGCCTGAGCCTGATCTGAGGCCGGCCGTCGGGGTGGTTTTGGAAAACCACATAGTTCTGGCTCCTGCGTCCCCTAGGAGCCGGAGATTCAAAGGGATTTATTATTATAATATATATATATATATATATATATATATATATTATAATATATTATAATCCGTGTGGTGACGGATAAAGGAGTGTCACCCCCCCCCCCCCCCTATTCACCCCCTATTCATCCCGGGAGTGTCGTAGGAGCCGACTAAGGGAGCAAACTACGCAGGATAACAGCACTACAAAGAGAAGAAAAACTTGACACAAACCCTATACCAACCCGTCTGGCCAGCGTGGTACAGTAGGCCACAACCTCCTTTCCAAGGAAAGGCCTATGTCCAGCAGTGGACTAGTAAAGGTTATTGATGTGATGAACTATTATTAGAATACAACATTTATAAATTTTGTCTTTCTTATATATTATAAATGTATTCAATATTATAAATGTATTAACAGACTGAAGCGGTTGCTGGCGTTGGCGGGCAACCCACACGTCACCACCAGCTCAGCGGCCACCATCGCGAGGTGCAACTGTGGACATGTTTGCCCACAGCAGAGGAAACAGGTAACAGCCGGGGTATGAAAGAGACCGCTTAAGGGTCCGGCCTTGAAATATATTATGTAGAATAGAATAATCTTTAATGTACCTAAAAACACATTGTTTAAAATAAATACTTTGTTTAAAATACTGGCCCGCTACATAAGAAAAGAAATTTAAAATAAACCATCTCAGTTTTTTCAAGTTAGTTCAAATATTTGTTAGCTACACACAATGCTCATACAATTGGTTTTTGACGGGCCTGTTGGTCTAGTGGTTGGTGGCCCTGACTGCTAAACCTGGAGGTGGTGGGTTCGATTAAATAAATATTAAATATTATTGTATTTCTAAGGAGAGGCCTATGTCCAGCAGTGGACTATTAAAGGCTGTTGATGTGTGTGTGATGTGAGCACGATTATTTGTTCTGTGTCTGGGTGTAATTTATCTATAATATGTATGTATTTAGAAATATATATAAGTATGTTTATCTGCAGTCTGGTTACCATAGCACAGGGTCTGCCTACTTTGGGATCAGACAGCCGTGTGTGAGATGTATCAAGTTATTATTATTATTAACTAGACTACAATTTTCAGTTTTTAGTAACACTGTTAAATTATGATTTAAATAACTTCAATGTATGCATAATTTCACGAAGGTTAGGTTTAATACGTGTACAACACACAAAAGTATTTTTGTATTTTATATTAATGTAAAGAGGAGCTATTAGATGTTTTTGTAAACGTCAGTTATTAAAAAATGATTTAATGAATAACAAACTAAATTTAACAGTAATTATTATAGACCATAGATCCACCATGACACTGAGTGACTTTATGTCAGTGTGAAAGCAGGGAAAGTGAGGTCTACCGTCACTTTCCCTGCTTTCACACTGACACAAGTGTCAAAGAGACTGGTGTCAAAGTGACAGATGTCAAACTATGTAACGCCGACTAAGTGGAACAGAGGTAAAAAAAATTATCCCGTGTACCTACTGGATCGCTTGGTAGTTTTATTTAACTTAAGTTATTTTAAACGGGATATTTACATAAAGAGACAAAATATCGGAAATTAAGACTTGAAAAGAAGTATGGTAAATAATAACTCATCGTTCATAATAACTCATCGAGTTAATTCAATCGGTTTCATATAGGATTTTGATATATTAGAATGAGTATTTGAAAATAAAATATTGGTTGTGTTTGTCCGCAGCTGCGGGCGCCGGCGCGCGAGGAGGGCGCGGGGGGAGCGGGGGGAGTGTTCCGCGCGCCGCCGCCCATCGCGCCGCGCCCCGACCCCGAGGTGAGCCCCCCCCCCCCTCACACCTCACACCTGCTTCCAAGCTTTCTCCTACCAAACGATCACTTCTTGGAACCTGCTCAGGGGGCTGAGTTTGATCGATGCGACACTTTTTTCTACACATAATGTATTTTGTATATTTATTCTGTACATATAGACGATGTCGGTCTAGTGGTCGGTGACCCTGACTGCTAAGACGTACGTCGTGGGTTCGATTCCCACTCGAAACGATTAATTGTGTGGTAAGCACGATCAATTATTCTGTGTCTGAGTTTAATTTATCTATAATGTATATGTACTTTGAAATATATAAGTATATTTATTAGCAGTCTGATTACCATAACAGAGACTGCTTGGTTTAAGTTCAGACTACCCTGTTGGCGGTGACCGGAGATGTGTCATGTTTCCACTATTCCACTCCCGAAAAGAAAGGCAGATGATACTACTGTTGATAACTCTGATCATGGGTCAGAAAAAATAAAGATTTAAGTGCTCGTAGACACCTGAACCTTGGTCCAAACGTCAATTGAATACGCGAAATTTGACTGCACAGATGGCGTAGGGGCTTAATTCCATTTCATATCCACTCAAGAACTCGTTTTCCCCAACGGTTTAGTAGGCAAAAACCTTTCTTCCCTGCCTTCCTTTCTAAGGAGAGACCTATGTCCTCCAGTGGCTGGACTGTTGAAGGCTGATGATGGGATGTGATAAATACACTCCTATTTTCTTCTAGTTGCTAACCTCTAGCAGTAAATTAATACTACGTCCGACAGGTATCTAAAACGGACATGATGCTGGAGGGCATCCCACGCTGGCGCCGCGGGAGGCCTCGCGTCACCGACCGGCGGGTGGTGGTGCAGAGGCTGCTGCCGCTGTTGCCCAAACTCCCCGCCCCTACCAGTAAGTTGCCCACTATTGGGCGTAACCGCTCATATCCTAGAGGCTCCTACTACTGTTGGCCCAACTACCCTCTGCCACCAGGAAATGTCTCACTATTCGACATATTGGTAGTCTAAAATGTGGTTAAATTTATATTTTTACAGATCCTGTGCCAGTTAAACTGACGCAGAGTGCCCCTCCAGTTCCACCCCGTATACTGCCGAAGCCACCCCCCACTTCTACTTCTGAGTAAGTTTTATATTTAATATTAGCTCTCCTTAATAGCTCTTTGTATAAATACATATTAAACTCGAGGTTTCTATACTTTTACCAAAGTTCTTTGAAATTGGTTTAGTGGTTTTGGTGTTAAAATGTAAGTGACAGAGGTATTTTCATTAATGATCAAATATTATACTGTAACCGTGTAAACCGCTAAACCAATTCTAATTTTACGTAAAGCTATAGGACGGTATCTTTAATAAGGACCTATTGAAATGGGGACTTTTTGATGCAAAATCAAACAGCCAGACCGGTTTTTGACGTGGCGACGCGTCGCCACGCAATGTAACATAGTGTGGCTTTATTTTTAATTGTACTATTCCTCTCTATTCCTTTTATACTCATTAATTCTACAAAATAATTTAGATGTTTCACCTTTTTTTTATGGTAGAGATTTTAGTCACAAAACTCATGAGATGAGATTTTTCTCAAATTAAACCTATTAACAAATAGAGTGGGTCTCTAAATCATCAGCTCGTTTGACTAAAGCCATTTTGTTATAATTCTAGTTTGTCATTCTTCTACGTGTTGAGTGAGTCGAACGGACAGTTCTACTTCCACGACGGTGACCGCCGCATTCCCATCACACCGCTATCGGGCAACGGGGAACAGCATGCTGCAGGTAACCTCAACATTACCAGGTTCATCAGCTATCACACTAAAATACATTCCCAAAAATCTCTCCTATAGTCACATGTAGAAGTGCCCTCGCCAAGAGACACCTTCGTATTGCAGTTCACCTTTTCAACACCATAAACAAGAATTGCCAGATACATCACCTAACAAAACGAGAATACAAAACCACAAGTAACGAGAATACAAGTAATGAACTGGTTATTTGAACAGGATTACGACACAACTGAGACATTAACGTGACTCACTATGTTATAACACACACACACACACTAGCACACAGACACAATACACACACGCACACGCAGACACAATACACATACGCACGCACGTACATAAACATCTTATCATAAGTTTTCAATTAATTGGTTTGATTCCTACTCAAAACAAATGATTATGTGCCCCCCCCCCCCCCGCCACCCCCTACCCTCTTTAATTTTTGCCACAGCTAAGCTGAATCTTCCTCTTTCCTTTCCTGGATCAGACAGCCGTGTTATTATTATTATTTTATAGATGGACCCAACCATTCCGGGTCTAAATCCAACGGTGTGAAGGCCGAGGGGGCTGGTCGCTCCGGCGACGTGGACAACGTAACGAAGCAAGAGGACGATGCGGACGCTGACCCTAAGTCTGAACAGATCGACGTCACACGTAAGTTCCTACCACCATCAGATACTTCCACAGGGTTGAGGAGCCATCACACTAATATTATGAAGGCGAAAGTTTGTGTGTTTGTTTTTTATCACTCTTAAACGCCTGAACCATTTTTGATAAAATTTGGTATGGAGGTAGTTGACAGCTTGAATTAACACATAGGCTAGTGTTCTCGTGCGAGGAGTATGTCTGATGAGAAATGAAGCAGGGCTGCCCCACGGCCACTTCACTTCAGAGGGATGTTTTTTTTTTTTATTAAGGGTTACCAACAATTGTTTTGGAAACATGAAATATACTTACACATGCTACAGAAAATTAATTAAAAATGTAACAATTAGGTAATTATAGGTAAACACCGATTATATGAACAAATATATATTGAGAATTATAAACTTAAACATTTACTGCGCCGACCCCAAATAAATTATAATATTAATAAATAAATAAATAAAAATAATAAGGGTAGGCCAAAACCTCTTTTCTAAGGAGAGGCCTATGTCCAGCAGTGGCCTAGTAAAGGCCGTAGATGTGTTGATGATGTGATAAGGGTAGGCAGATTTAACTTAAACTGTGATTTTAAATTACACGCAATTTAATATTAAATTTAATTAAACATATTATGCCACTATATCTGGTAAATTAATTAGTAACTTTATTAATATTATCTTAAATGTAATGACAGCGGATTTCCTCCCTTCGGAGTCCATGTCGCTGTCGCCCTCGCGCCTGCTACACGACGCCGAGGGCTGGTTCGACAGTTCAGGGCAGGACTTTTCCCTCAGCAGCTTCCTGGGACACCTGGAGGGGCGGCCGCAGCCGGACCTCGCTGTTAGTATTGTAACACGGTATTTGATTGACCAGTAAAAAAGATGACCAGTCAAATGAGTTTTTAAAACGAAACGGTCCTGCAGTGCTATCCTCTGAGGAAACAGCTTTGCAAACAGCGCTTTTTTTTTCACTTGTGGACATCCCCTCGGACCGTCACCCCTCCGGGGTTTGCGGCGGGGTGGTGTGTCGGACTCGGACCGACTAAAACCACACGGTGTGCCACTCTGCGCCTGTAACAGGAGGGATCCGGGAACAGCTGTTGTTAAGACATCCGGACCCCTCCTTTTGCGTACAGCGCTGCCACAGCGTTGAATTTCAAACTAATTAGTTACGACAGGTTGTTTCCTTAGAGAATAGCACTGCGGAAACATCATAATTTACTTTTTATAATATAATAAACATCACATCAACAGCCTTCAATAGTCCACTGCATGACATAGACCTCTCCTTAGAAAGGAGGTTTTGGCCTACTATACCACGCTGACCAGACGGGTTGGTATAGGGTTTGTGTCAAGTTTTCCTTCTCTCTGCAGTGCTGTTGTTCTGCGTAGTTTGCTCCCTTAGTCGTCTCTTACGACACTCACGGGATGAATAGGGGTGGTGACACTCTGTATTCTTAATACATCACCACACGGACTGCACTGCTACTGATAATAAACATGAATATATTAAATGATATATTTTTTAAATTCTTGTTTAATACTTAACTTTCAAAAAAACTATTTACATGAGAGAATTAGGCTTCCATTTTAATAAAAAACAGTTTTTATTGTGTTAGTTTTTGACCAGTTTAGAAAACATTTTGTCCCGGGGCTTTTTTGACCTTTGAATAACGTAAAAAATCATATGAAGTATTCAACAGTCAATTCTAAAATGCTTACCTTGTATTGATTACGTATTGCGAGATTGCCCGATGGGGATTCTTATTCAGGGGATAGGATAGCCTGATTGCATTAAGACGAAATTGGGCCGCCACGTTATGATTGAGGGGGGAAGTGTTTTTTCCTCTGAAAGAAGGCCTGATTAGGCATGGCGTTAATTCGAGGAGGACCGGAAATAACATGGTCCAGGTCCTCCAAGAGTAGGACACCTGGGGCCGGCCGTCGGGGTGGTTTTTAGTGGAATCACCTGGCTCCCGAGGAGCAGGAGATCCGAAGGGATTTTCTATCCCGTCAAAAAGAAAAGGGATTCTTATTCAAGGAGCGACAACACTTTCAGTGGCTAATATGTTCAGAGCCTGTTATTTTTCATTATAAATCTTTTGAGCAATATTTAACCTTTCCAGGTGGAGTCCCAACTACAGTCATTGATGGCGGAGTCGAGCGTGGACTACGTGGCCAAGTTCGCGGACCTCGCGGCCGAAGTCACCGACGAGCCCGACCCCAAGGGCGATGACCTCACCTAGTCGCGCACACACGCGCACACACACACACACACACACATACGCACGCACACATTTAGCGTTTTATTTTTACTTTCTTAAGTAATTACAACCTTATAGAAATCAAATTGTATATCCCTACCAGTACAGATCTTTGTTCGTTTTATTTATTCATTCACTCATTCATTCATTCAGTCATTACTAAATATATAAAAACTAGCTTGCATTTTGGGTAATTGTTAATTACACTGACAGACAATGCAAAACAATTAAATGAATGAATGACTGAATGAAAGAAACTTGATGGGAATGGTTTTTTAGATAACTCTTAATTGGAATAATTCCTGTGTTGTGGGGAACTATATGAACATACAAATAACAAACATGATCGCGTGGGATTCGAACAAGGTGTGGCGTAGGAGCGAGTCGACTACTTTAACCATCCTTACAATCATAAAGTAAACATACATATCTACAATGACATTAATATAAATGTGGCCTGTACAGATAATAAATAAATTGTCCCATCTCGATTGATTTTAGTATAGCAACACTGACTATTGTTATTTGACGTTTAGGAGCTATGATATAGAAACACATGTTAAATTTATAACACTCCTCCTTTTAGAGAAGGAGAAGGGAGAGTTAAACATTAGAAGAATGATAAAACACAACCTAATGAATTAAAACTTGTAGTAAATAGTACGGAACCTTTGCGCGTGGCCCGCCCTGGACCACATTTGATTTGTTTTCCTTGTCAGGCTGTGTCAAGTCACATTTTAATTAAGTATTTTACTAATATTATTTGTGAATAGATTTTCAATGTATTACAAAATATAATAAATCAAATGTAATTAATATCTAAGAGTAACCAGCTGTTGAAAGGCATGTAAGTTTTTAAACTTATTTATAATAAACTATATTTTATATATTTCTATGTTTTATTTCAAAATACAGGGCTCAAAGTTAAGTACGCGGTTTTGCCCGTGTATAGTTTACAGGATTTGCCATGATCGGCTGGACTTGGGTTGATACCGGGTGATGAAAACCGGTGGTAGGCAATACGTTCCTTGCATTTCAAATATTATTATAATCGGTCCAACCGTTTTGAAGGTTACCCGGAATGAACAGGCAGAAAGAGCGACATATTTAAACTAGTTTTTAAGCATAGGTATCGAACAAATAAACACGTGTTATCACGAAAAAATACCTATTAACTTGACGTTACAAACACACTTCAATTTTAATTACTTGAAAATTTCAAATGTCATCTATACAAATAAATAAAATTGAAGTGTCTGTTTTGGAATGTCAAAATTTTAGGTTTTTTATTTTCACACGGTTATTAATTATATCTAAAAAGCAGTGAAATTTTTTTTGTCTGTTTGTTCCGGGTAAATCTTCTAAACGGCTGGACCGATTTCGATAATATTTACTACCAGGTAGCTGTCTACATAAGGAATAACTTAGGCTTTTTTTCTCTCAGGAAAACCCTTTAAAATTTTGCCCGGTTCGGGCATAGAACCCACTAAGGCAGCGCTTTTCAAATTCCACACGAACGAAGTCGCGGGTACCAGATAGTAGATTATAAAAGCACTTTCATCAGTAGACGGATTCAGTAAACGGATAGGTTAAGTTTTCTTCGTTTATTGCTAGATTGTCCGTGTAGTGACGGATTAAGAATACGGAATGTCACTACCCCAATTCATCCCGTGGGTGTCGTAAGAGCCGACTAAGGGCGCAAAACAATGCAGGACACCAGCACTGCAAAAAGACGGAAAACTTGACACAAACCCTAAACCAACCCGCCTGGCCAGCGTGGTATAGTAGGCCAAAACCTTCTTTCTAAGGAGAGGCCTATGTCTAGCAGTGGACTATTAAAGGCTGTTGATGTGTAGATGTGATTGCTAGATTGCCTTGAATTAAACACTTTTACTTCAAAATATACTTAAATTCCTTTAAATAAAAAGATAGACAAATTAAAAATAAGTTTGAAATTGACAGAACTTTACGTCACGCAATTTTTTAATCCTGATGATTACTATTAATGTTTTTAATGCACCTTCCTACCTATTATATTTAAAAGTGGTTTCAATGAAGTACCATTTACAATGTATGTATAAGACCATTTTAAACTAAAGGTGAACGGGGCAGGCTTGTATGGGCATTTCGTACAGCTAATAAAATTTCGTGTTTTAGATTTTTACAAATTGTGTGTTTTATTTTTAAGGTACTAGTGTACCAATGTAGATTGTTATTCAGGTATGTCGGGGCACCAGGGACTTCCTTTCTAGGGTATACCTGGTTCCCCGGCTATTAGTACCCGAGACTTTAGTCGGTTCAAATCCGACATGCCACCGACAGGTGGTATCCGAGGGGATTTCCGCACGGAAAAAAAGGGGGTTATACTCGTAGTTGCCCTCATTTCTGATAGATTTTACTCACAAATACCATATCTCAAATCGCTCCTAGAAGCCTGTGAACGCCCCAGGAGGCTTCTGCGCTTCTGGAAGGAGCTTGGTTGGCTCACTTAACTAACCAGTCCTCGACGCATAAAGGTCTAAATCCTCTTGAGTCTAAATGCGAAAACCGAAGCCCACAACCGATACCATATACCAAAAATAACCATTTTCAAGATAATGCATTTTGTGTAGTTGTGTGTGTTAGTTGTTCTATAATTTCAATAACTTAAATTCTAAGTCACTTAACAAACTGGGCCGAAGTAGATTGTTAATAATAGGAAAAATAGATAAATTTGTAAAAAAAAATGCATAATAGTTGCCCTGTGCAGTACAGGAGATATGTAAAAGAATGACTGGATTCTAATTATCATAATAAGTGGATTGGAAGAGGTGGTGAGGTGGCTCGTTCGGATACGCATTGACTGTATCCGTAACAAATCAAGATATGAATATAATTCTCGTTCGTATAGGTTATCATCTTCAATAGTATCCGAATCACAAATCAAAGTCCACTTTGCGGTAGTTAGTCTAAACTAAAACCAAAACTACAAGCCAAGTTTTCAACTAGATGCTACCGGGTTGTACGCTAATTCTTAACTCCCTTGGGCTTTCATCTAAGTACTTTTCATGAATTCTTATACTATCCTAGACTTTAATACCTTATAAGATAGCTGAGAATACTTACATCCTTATTTCACCAATCTGCAGTCATAGATTTCTTTATAAAATTCGTCAAAGAAAAAAATAATCTTACAAATTTATTTATTTTTCTTCGGCTCTTTTTTCTTTATTTCGGCCCAGGTTGTTAAGTAAACTACAATTTTAGCAATTGAAATTAGAAAATAATTTATCAACTACACAAAAACAGCAAAAAAAAAACAAAAAAAAATTAAAAAAAAATTGTATTAGGCAAAATTTTGGCGATTTTTATAAAAGATCTTAAAAGTCCAATCCCAAAAATAATCATTTTCAAAATATTGGATCTCGAAAATGGTTATTTTTGGGATATGGTTTTTCATAGTGAAATCTATCAGAAATGATAGCAACTACAACCCCTTAAAATAATTAGGTCGACTTACCCAGTAACCCTGTTCAAAAACATATTTTTTTCCATAGTGTAAAATAAAGTCGTTTATATTTTCTTGTACGCTTAGATGTTTTAAACTAAGCAACGGATTATAATGCGGTTGCATCAATAGAAAGAGTGATTCAGGAGGAAGGTTTATATGTAAAATACATGCATATTATAGTAGAGAAAATCCGAGAATTTCAAAGATTTGTTGTAAATTACATGTTTTTGTACGCTTACATTTTGCTAGCGCGCTGGCTAAACCTTACGAGATAGACGTAAAAAATGTACTACGGAATTGTATTTCTCAAAAGAGTCTACAAAAAGGCCGCGAAGGTGTATGTCTATCTCCTAAAGGTAAAGCACAGTACCTAACTATTTATTTCTTTTAAATATTACAAAAAAATAACAGGTTATTTACGAAGCTATTTTAAACAATAAATTATTATTAAAATGAATATTTTAGAAGATATTAGAGGTTTAAAGTTGCGGGTTCAAAGCGGGCCGTCGCCGTCGAGCCGTACGTGCATCGCGGGTGGCAGCGGCCTTCCGGAGCGGAGTGCATAATAATAGTATAATTAATTACTGCACACTGACACCACATTAGTTTTATAAGTAGTATCTACATTTCGTAAACCGAGGCGGATCGCTAGTTATCTCTAAAACATTATTTATGTACTTTTAACACTAAGTTCGATAGACATAAGTTGTGCCCAACGTGTTCAGGCAAAAAAGAAATACAAACATATAAGTAGGACACATCGTAATTCCTGATGCCTGAGGAACCCAATTTTGAGAATGCTTATGCTGGAAATACAATAATTGGTTACCTTCATCTTACAAAAAACCTTTACCAAATGGGTATGTTGTGTTACTACGAGTGAATAGGTTTATTATTTGGAAAGACATAAAATAGTTAGAATCAATTTGTGATACAATGTGCGGACGATAAAAGCGGTTAGGGTACGAAACAACAACATCGCTTTATAAAATTACCTTTCACATTTCTTCAAAGTATTATTTTTACAAAGTATTAGGCAGTATTATTTTTACTACAAATCCAAATCTTTTATAATTTTATTCATCGCATATGGTAATCAAACACTACGCTTGCAACATTGATTTTTGACTTGCCAAGCCAATAGTTGCCAACAGTGATGTTTACGTTTCGTATTGCGATAGGTTATGTAAAATAAGTTTAGTATTCCTTCTGAGGAATAATACCACGAAATAACAGCAGATGTGACTCCTGAACACTGATTAAATGTAATGAAATAATATTGAAACACCTTTGCATGTAGGCGGCTGAAAAAACAACTTCAGTGACAATGTTTTGGCAATGGTTCATGTAAGTTATGATGACAGATGCTTATTATCCTGTTAAAAACTTATTTGTGATAATCACAATGTTAATGTTATTAACTTTATTATCTACGCTTAGTTTTGTGCAATTAGATCACTGGTCATATAAAACAATAATATTTTTATAATATTTTACACACACATTTCACACACGGCCTTCTGATCCCAAACTAGGCCGAGCCTGTATTATGCTAACCAGACTGCTGATAAACATACTTATATATTTATTAATACATACATCTTATAGATAAAGTACACCCAGACAGTGTGCTTTGTTGGAATTGAACCTATGACCTCTGGGGTAGCAGTCAGGGTCACTAACCATTAGACTAACAGGCCAGTCATAGTTACAGTGCATGACAATTCAGAGTTAAAACACTTCATTGGGAGAGCCACGCTTATGTTGTAAAATATGCATTAGGTAAAGAAAACAATTTCAAATGTAATAATAGCATTTAGGAATTACAACCTTCCAAAGTTTTTTAAGATAATTTTTGTTTTATGGTTGTCATCTCATAATGTACTGTTGTATGTGTAGTTATAAGACATATTATAAATGTAATCACTATTGTTCGCAAGTATATAAACTGTTGCTTAATATGAATTAAAGGAGTATTTATCCATCAATCGTCGTATTACTATCCCAACCTCATAGTACTTTTCATTGTTCAAACTGTGATAAAAAACCAACTTTAAACAACAACAACCAACCCTTACACCAAAATTATCTTAATAAACTTTGGCAGGTTGTAGTTCCTAAATGCTATGGAATTTGAACTTGATTTTTTTGGTGTTGCGTATTTTAATAAACTGTAACCATAGCAAAAAAAGGATTCCAAATATTCCGCATAAAGAAACTAAAAAATAAAACAACAAAAATTTTAATTTCTCCGTTCTATTTAAGCATAGAATATAGATTGTTTTTTGTTGCAAGCAAACATTTTTGTATAAATAATTACATGTCCTATAAGCAATTAAAAGTTTTATTTTGTGTTGTTGTGTTGAAAGTGTTGCAAACACTAAACTTTTAATACAGACCTACAAAGCTCTCTGCGAGTGTGTGGTAAACTACTGCATCTGTTCTTGGGGTGGGCAGCAAAAACTATAATCATCGAACTTGAATGTGCTCAGCGTGCCATCCTAAAAGTACTTATGTACCTACCGTTTCGACACCCAACAACTGATCTCTACACGCGTTCCGAGGTCCTGACCGTTCGTAAGCTTTACATTCAATAAACTTGTTTCTTTGTTGTTTGTATTTTCCAAAGTAAAAATATTTTTATATTTTCCATTAAAAATAGTTAAATGCCAAATATCTTAAGTTTAAATCAAAATTGTCGCACAGGGGTTCTAATCTTCTATTGAAAACGATTTAGTTTATCTATAGACGTATGAAATGTGCAGCAGTGTGATATATTAGGCCAAAACCTCCTTTCTAAGGAGACGCCTATGTCCAGCAGTGGACTATTACATGCTGTTGATGTGATGAACTATTATAAGAATAGAACATTTATAAAATGTTGTCTTTCTTAATCATATTACTTGAAATTGATTGAACACGTTTAGATTTCTTTATGTTTTAAATTCCTTCTTTACTTTTTACCGAGTGAGTGAAATCACTGCAGAACAAAGAAAATGGTGGGCCAATGGGGGAAATAGTAGGACTAGTAGGATCAGGTGACCCTTACGCTTCTTTGCATAGTTGTTGGCACAATGGCTTGCCGCCTTTGCCGGCATTCCTGCGTGCCCCTGCGCACACCCCGCGCGACCTCGCTGACTGCTTCCCGCGCTTTTAAAAAAAAGCCATCATGGTCGGCCGCGAGTCTACATCAGAACGCTAAACGCTACCGATTTGTATTGTACTTTTACTCAGTAAAGTGCTATAAATGTGCTTAGTTAGTTTTATTAAAATCTACAACAATAATATAGGACTAAAAAAAAACGCTTGTTTTCTAGAAGTTAATTAATATGAATATATACAAGCTTAGGTTTGTTTAATATATATATTTAAAAAAAAATTGTATGTTATTATTTGACGTGAAGCAATAAATGAATGTTGTTTACAAAGTGAGATACTACAATTTTGAAAAACATTCATGTTTACGTAAACCGTTTTAGAATGTTTAATGAGCTAACAGAAAATATTTTCATCTATTTCAGTATCATTGTGATTCTACCCGTCACGTTCATAGTGTTCCTGATCTTCTGCATCTTCGTGCTGGTACCCTCCGCCTTCATATTCGCGTCATGGTACATGCGCATCAAGGAACGGAAGTTGACTAGGCGGAAACGAGATGGAGCCAACGTCGCGTTCTTCCATCCTTATGCTAACTCGGGGGGTGGAGGCGAGAGAGTGCTATGGGTGGCTATCAAAGCTATGCAAACTAGGTTTGTTCTGTTCTATTATCTATACAAATAAATAAAATTTGAGTGTCTGTTTGTAATATTAAAATAACCGCTTTTTACTAAATGCATATGTATGTTTACACGGTACATATGCCAAAATATCATTTTTTTCAATTTTTGTCTGTCTGTCTGTCTGTTGGTTCCGGGTAATCTCTGGAACGGCTGGACCGATTTCGACTGGACTTTCACTGGCAAATAGCTGATGACATAAGGAGTAACTTAGGCTACTTTTTTTTACTAGTTTCGCCCCGCGTCGTTGCCCGCGGTTATAAAAACAAACGCGGGTAACACCGCGGGTCATAAAAACTTCACACATCTCACACACTGGTCCTAAACTAGGCAGAGCCTGTGCTACGGTAACCAGACCGCTGGTAAACATACTTATATATTTCTAAATATACATGGTACATATAATAATTCAAAATATCTTAATTCCATTTTTTTTTAATTATTTGAAATCGCCTTTCATGTAGACTCTAAAGTCCTAGATCAACACACACAATAGCAACAATCTCTGTTTTGTCAAATTTTGTTGTTTTGGTAAATAATAATAATAATAATCTACCACATTCACACAACGCCATCTAGTCCCAAACTAAGCAGAGCTTGTACTATGGCTACTAGACAACTGATATAAATACATATATACTTTTTTTTTGTAAATACACACATATTATACATAGAAACACCCAGACCAAATCAAACATTAAATGTTCATGCACACAAACGTTTGACTTGAGTGGGAATCGAACCCGCGACCTTTGGAATAGCAGTCCGTTACACAAACCACCACGCCATCCGGTCGTCAAATAGATAAATTACACCCAGACATGAAACAAGTGATTGTGTGCTCATCACACAATTATTTGTCCTGGGTGGGAATCGGATCCACGACCTCCTGGCTTGCTAAGCCAGGAGGTCGTGGGTCCGATTCATATTATATTTACGATATATCCGATACATATTATAGATAAAGTACACCCAGGCACAGAACAAATGGCCGTGCTCACACAATCATTTGTTTTGGGTGGGAATCGAACTCACGACCTCTGGCGTAGCAATCAGGGTCATTAACGACTAGGCCAAGAAGGCCTGTCAAAATATATGTATGTAGTTAGCAATGTATATGAAAATTTGAAACAGCAGTCTGGTTACCATAGTACATTGTCTGCTTATTATAGGGTCAGACGGCTGTGTAACGTGTCATAAAAAGATTGTAAAAAAATATATGTCATCTACAACTAGACGTGGAAATTATTGTTTTTAGTCACAGCGATTTCACATGTGATTGTGATTTTGTCATAGACAACGATAAATGCCAGTGAAATCAATCAAAATTCTTTTTATCAAAGATTCGCGAGGAATGCTCTAGTAATGGATAGACTGCACGGATGGCGTAGTGGTTTAAGCGGTCGCCACGCCGCTTCCTACCACGCCGAGTGTTGTGGGTTCAAACCCCACATGGGACGACACTTTGCGTGATCCACAAATTGTTGTTCTGAGTCTGGGTGTTCTTTGTGTCCGTATCATGTATGTTTGTAAAGTCCCCTGCGACACAGGATATATTCCTAATGCGTGAGTTGTCTTTTTAGAAAACAAAACAAACAAACAAACAAAACAATGGGCATTAATGCTAATTAGATTTAATTTAATTAATTGCATAGCATAGCATGTTAATTGCTAATGCTAATCATCATTATCAACATAAACAGCTTATAACAGTCCACTGCTGGACATAGGCCTCTCCTTAGAAAAGAGGTCTTGACCTACTACACCACGCTGGCCAGACGGGTTGATATAGGGTTTTTGAGAGGGTTTTTTCTGCCCGCATCGTCCGGCACCTCTGCGAGGTGGGCCCCGATCTGTCGGACGCCCAATTTCACTGTTACTTTTGGGGGTTTTTATTCATTTTTAAAATTATAGTCAAAAACTCCTTTCCTATTTTTTTCCCAAACCAAAAAATTTTTATTTAAATTCTCTTTTATCCTTTACTTCTCTCACCTCTTCTCCATTCTTTCTTACTCCTTTTTTTTTCTTTTTCTTCTCATTGGGAAAATCATTTGTTTTTATTCAAAGGATTTGGTTTCCCCAAAATTTTAAACAGGTCAGGGTTTTTAGACTTAGCATTTTTAATTTTTTTATTTTTGGGTAATTTGAATTAATTAAAAAAACTTTTTTTTAAAATCCCCTTTTGTAATATAATTTAAATAAAAGGTTTTGTGATCTCAAACTTTAGACCGTTTGGTAAAGAGTTAAAAAAAAAAAAAAAAACAAAATTTTTTTGCACAGGGAGTTTACCTTATAAAAAACGGTTTTTTTTTTTTTAGGAGGTAGTTTTTATTTACCAAAACCCCCTTTTAAGGGAACATTTACATGGTTTATTAATTTTTGAGTAAAGGGTGACCCAAAAGCTTTGTTGGCATAGTATAGGACTAAAAAAACGCTTGTTTTCGAGAAGTTACTTAATATGAATATATACAAGCTTAGGTTTTTTTTACTTATAAATATTAAAAAAAAATTGTATGTTATTATTTGACGTGAAGCAATAAATGAATGTTGTTTACAAAGTGAGATACTACAATTTTGAAAAACATTCATGTTTACGTAAACAGTTTTAGAATGTTTAATGAGCTAACAGAAAATATTTTCATCTATTTCAGTATCATTGTGATTCTACCCGTCACGTTCATAGGGTTCCTGATCTTCTGCATCTTCGTGCTGGTACCCTCCGCCTTCATATTCGCGTCATGGTACATGCGCATCAAGGAACGGAAGTTGACTAGGCGGAAACGAGATGGAGCCAACGTCGCCTTCTTCCATCCGTATGCTAACTCGGGGGGTGGAGGCGAGAGGGTGCTATGGGTGGCTATCAAAGCTATGCAAACTAGGTTTGTACTGTTCTATTATCTGTAATATAATCATTAAAACTTCACACATCTCACACACTGGTCCTAAACTAGGCAGAGCCTGTGCTACGGTAACCAGACCGCTGATGAACATACTTATATATTTCTAAATATACATGCTACATATAATAATTCAAAATATCTTAATTCCATTTTTTTTTAATTGTTTGAAATCGTCTTTTATGTAGACTCTAAAGTCCTAGATCAACACACACACACACAATAGTAACAATCTCAGTTTTGTCAAATTTTGTTGTTTTGGTAAATAATAATAATAATAATCTACCACATTCACACAACGCCAGCTAGTCCCAAACTAAGCAGAGCTTGTACTATAGGCACTAGACAACTGATATAAATAGCAGACAAGCTCTAATGACTGCACGGATGGCGTAGTGGTTTAAGCGGTCGCCACGCCGCTTCCTACTACGCCGAGTGTTGTGGGTTCAAACCCCACATGGGACGACACTTTGTGTGATCCACAAATTGTTGTTCTGAGTCTGGGTGTCCTTTGTGTCCGTTTCATGTATGTTTGTAAAGTCCCCCGCGACACAGGATTTATTCCTAATGCGGGCGTTGTCTTTTTAAAAAAAAAAAAAAAAAACTTTTTTTTTGTAAATACATACATATTATACATAGAAACACCCAGACCAAACCAAACATTAAATGTTCATGCACACAAACGTTTTGACTTGAGTGGGAATCGAACCCGCGACCTTTGGAATAGCAGTCCGTTACACAAACCACAACGCCATCCGGCCGTAAAATAGATAAATTACACCCAGACATGAAACAAGTGATTGTGTGCTCATCACACAATTATTTGTCCTGGGTGGGAATCGGATCCACGACCTCCTGGCTTGGCAAGCCAGGAGGTCGTGGATCCGATTCATATTATATTTACGATATATCCGATACATATTATAGATAAAGTACACCCAGGCACAGAACAAATGGCCGTGCTCACACAATTATTTGTTTTGGGTGGGAATCGAACTCACGACCTCTGGCGTAGCAATCAGGGTCATTAACGACTAGGCCAAGAGGCCTGTCAAAATATATGTATGTAGTTAGCAATGTATATGAAAATTTGAAACAGCAGTCTGGTTACCATAGTACATTGTCTGCTTATTATAGGGTCAAACGGCTGTGTAACATGTCATAAAAAGGTTGTAAAAAATATATATGTCATCTACAACTAGACGTGGAAATTATTGTTTTTAGTCACAGCGATTTCACATGTGATTGTGATTTTGTCATAGACAACGATAAATGCCAGTGAAATCAATCAAAATTCTTTTTATCAAAGATTACCAACTTTTTTTTTAGATTTAGACCTTTCGCGAGGAATGTGCTAGTAATGGCCATTAATGCTAATTAGATTTAATTTAATTAATTGTGAATTCTTATGTCTTAGCATGTTAATTGCTAATGCTAATCATCATCATCATCCCGTCAAATTAATGCATTAAATATTAAGTAATAAGAAAATATGCGGCCCGACCCGCGTGTCACACACATCATCACATCAACAGCCTTTACTAGTCCAATGCTAGACATAGGCCTCTCCTTAGAAAAGAGGTCTTGACCTACTACACCACGCTGGCCAGACGGGTTGATATAGGGTTTGTTTCAAGTTTTCCTTCTCTTTGCAGTGCTGTTGTCCTGCGTAATTTGCTCCCTTAGTCGGCTCTTACGACACCCACGGGATGAATAGGGGTGGTGACACTCCGTATTCTTAATCCGTCACCACATGGACGCTAATGCTAATATTATTAACTAATATTGCAATTTCATACGAGAAAACGATCGTAACTTGTAGGTATATCGCTAAGTACTGATTTTATATAAATAACTTGTTTTTATTATATTTAACTTACCGGCTGCTATTTTGATTTCTTTAACATTCACCATCAATCATCAACAGCCTTTAATAGTCCACTGCTGGACATAAGCCTCTCCTTAGAAAGGAGGTTTTGGCCTACTATACCACGCTGGCCAGACGGGTTGGTATAGGGTTTGTTTCAAGTTTTCCTTCTCTTTGCAGTGCTGTTGTCTTGCGTAGTTTGATCCCTTAGTTGGCTCTTACGACACCCACGGGATGAATAGGGGTGGTGACACTCTGTATTCTTAATCCGTCACCACACGGACACTTCTTTAACATTATTACAGAGATAATGCAATATAGGGTTTGTTCGCGATATACTAGCGTCTGTGACTGCACGGATGGCGTAGTGGTTTAAGCGGTCGCCACGCCGCTTTCTACTATGCTGAGTGTTGTGGGTTCGATCCCCACATGGGACGACACTTTGTGTGATCCATAAATTGTTGTTCTGCGTCTGGGTGTTCTTTGTGTCCGTTTCATGTATGTTTGTAAAGTCCCCCGCGACACAGGATATATTCCTAATGCGTGAGCTGTCTTTAAAAAAAAATCGGCTGTCTGTAAAGTCGGTTTACTGACGATAGTTGAACGTGACAACGTCATAAGACACCACATTCACTTTTCACTGCACTTCATACTTGACGAAAACATGTAAATGTATTATTGTATAGCAGCTGTCCACGCGGACGCATCGCTCACTCAAGTAGGAGAGAGACAGATGTCGAACGCTACGGAACGCGGAGGCCGATTGTGCCTCTTTGTCGCTCGTTCCGCGCTCTCGCTTGCACTTCAAGCCTTAAATGGAACGCCTCAGAGCGAGGTAACGCCGCATGAGTCATGTTTTTTCGCGTCTGCGCGTTGATGCGAATGAGAAATCACACGCTAATGAATGAAACGATGAAATTTCGTATACGTATTAATTCATAGGTGCACGAAATTTCACGACCGCAATTAATTTGTTAACAGCTAATTAAGAATTCACAATTAAATATGAGTGTGAAGATATTATTTATTCCATCACTATCATGCACTAGCATAATAAAAATAATATTGTCGCAGTGATTTTGTAAATTAGTCAGGTGTGATTATATGATTTACTAGCTGGTACCCTCGACTTTGTTCGCGTGGAATTTGAAAAGCGCTGTCTTAGTGTGTACGGGACTGCAGTCCATGAGGACTCGGGTTCGATTCCTCGATTTTATTCCATCCCGATCTACAACCATTATGGAATTTCAGGCATTTGCAAATGTATTATATTCTGCAGGTACCCAGATACAAATATATTCATCTATACAGTAGACACAGCCGAGGCACAGACTATCCTGGACCGGGCCCAGAACCAGTTCAACGTTAAGGTGGAACCTGGTAAAATCAATTTTGTGCGGTTAATCTTGAAGAGGGCGATAGAAGCGGAGTCCTACCCGTACTTCACGCTGCTGTTGCAAAGCCTTGGTTCTATGGCGCTGGGTATGGAGGCTTTCATGAAGTTGAATCCAGGTTAGTAGATTCCGATTTTGGAATTAACACTAGTAATCGTATTTATAGTGTTGTAACATTACGAAACTAATAATGTATAGTGATGTTACAATGTTGTTAAGTAAAGGTGTAAAGCAACCGGATGGCGTAGTGGTTTGTGTAACGAACAATTGGAATAGCCAAAGGTCGCGGGTTCGATTCCCGCTCAAGTCAAACATTTGTGTGCATGAACATTAAATGTTTAATTTGGTCTGGGTGTTTCTATGTATAACATGTATGTATTTACAAAAAAAAAAGTATTTATATCAGTTGTCTAGTAGTCATAGTACAAGCTCTGCTTAGTTTGGGACTAGATGCCGTTGTGTGAATGTGGTTGAATATTATTATTATTAAAGCACTAGCCGTACCCTGCCACTTCAAAAATATATAAAAATAATCTTTAAAGCGGGTTGTATATTATGTCAAAATCTGATCTTAATCGGTGCAGAACTTTTTGAGTTTTTGAAGCATACACAAACCAATCTAACACATAGATATACAATTTATCAGAGAACACCCAGACTCGGACCAACAAATTGTGGATCACACAAAGTGTTGTTCCATGTGGGGATTGAACCCATACCACTCACCGCAGTAGGAAGCGGCGAGGTGACCGCTTAAACCACTATCCGTGCAGTCAAATTGTTCATTTGCATTGCATTATTTGTTTACCATTAAAGTAAACCAGCAGTTATGTTCCTTAGCAACATAAAACAATCAATTTGCTTAGATAATATAATTAAATTAAAGAAAATTCGTCAAAATAATTTAAATAACAATAACTGCTAACTGAAAATAAAAAAGTATTTGTCAAATCGACGGCAGACAAACATTAAAATTAGGCAACTGAATGGAAAACTTTTTCTTGTTGAGACTTTGGAGTCGGTTAATAAGTGTAAAATATTCTAAATATCATGAACTCGCTGACCCGCGCAACTTCGTCTGCGTCTCTCAATAGTAATAAATTTTCTCCGTTTTTGAAACATTCTGCATTGGTGCTCCGCTGCTATTGGTCTTAGCGTGATGATAAATAGCCTATAGCCTTCCTCGATAAATGGGCTATCTAACACTGAAAGAATTTTTTAAATCGGACCAGTAGTTCCTGAGATTAGCGCGTTCAAACAAACAAACAAACTCTTTAGCTTTATAATATTAGTATAGATATGCAAGCTATCTGAATTATATTATATCATGAAAACATCGATAATTTCAGACGTGTTCATAGACACGACGGGGTACGCGTTCACGTACCCCATCTTCCGCTACCTGGCGCAGTGTCCCGTGGGCAGCTACACGCACTACCCCACGGTCACGGGCGCCATGATGCGGCGCGTCAAACACCGCATCGTCGCCTACAACAACTCCGGGGTCATCGCCAGGAACCCCATCTTCACCTGGCTCAAACTACTGTATTATAAGATATTTGGATGGGTCAGTATATACTCTTCATCGTCATTAACAGCCTGTATTAGTCCACTGCTGGACATAGGTCTCTCCTCAGAAAGGAGGTTTTGGCCCACGCTCGCCAGACGAGGGTCAAGTGTTTCCTTCTCTTTGCAGTGCTAAGGACCCACGACACCCACGGGATGAATAGGTTTATTCCCAGTTGTTCCATTAAGCCAGTTCCACATGAATAACTATTTGAAGCGGAAAATTATACCCAATAGTTCCATCAACTTCCAATTACGTAGCTTGTCTTCTATACAAATAAATAAAATTGGAGCGTCTGTTTGTAATATTAAAATAACCGCTTTTTACTAAATGCATATATTATGTATGTTTACACGGTACATATGCCAAAATATCATTTTTTACAATTCTTGTCTGTCTGTCTGTCTGTTTGTTCCGGGTAATCTCTGGAACGGCTGGACCGATTTCGACGGGACTTTCACTGGCAGATAGCTGATGACATAAGGAGTAACTTAAGCTACTTTTTTTAGACTAGCTTCGCCCCGCGGCGTTGAACGCGGTTATAACGACAAACGCGGGTAACACCGCGGGTCTCAGCTAGTTGTATTATAAGACAAGAAACCTTTTTCTTTGTTTTCTTGTGCTACATACGAATTAAGAACACAGAGTATCACCACCCCAATTCATCCCGTGGGTATCGTAAGAGCCGACTAAGAGAGGAAACTAAGCAGGGCAACAGCACTGCAGAGAGAAGGAAAACTTGACACAAACCCTATACCAACCCGTCTGGCCAGCGTGGTATAGTAGGCCGAAACCTCCTTTCTAAGGAGAGGCTTATGTCCAGCAGTGGACTATTAAAGGCTGTTGATGTGATAAACCACGTATTATAAATGCGGAAAACTTGGCGCTGTTTAACCGATTAAATCCACAAAGACAGTGTAAGGACATAAGTTAATAAAAAGTACTGTATTATATTTAAACAAACACAAGTTAAGTTAATCTAGAAAATAAATGAATTAATTTGTGTCGTTGGTAGATGTATGGTGTGGTGGGACGGTGCGCTGATGTGGTGATGGTGAATGGGACTTGGACGGAGGAGCACATCAACGAGCTCTGGGAGATACCACTCAGCACGCACAGGGTCTACCCGCCGTGTGAGGTGAGTATAATAATAATAATAGATGCACAGATGGCGTAGTGGTTTAAGCGGTCGCCACGCCGCTTTCTACTGCGCCGAGTGTTGTGGGTTCAAACCCCACATGGGGTTTCATGTATGTTTGTAAAATCCCCCGCGACACAGGATATATACCTAATGCGGGAGTTGTCTTTAAAAAAAAATTCAGACATTAGTCCATAAATATGTTAGTAACAATAATCTTACAACTATGTTAGTTCTACATTAACACAAAAACAAATTAAAAAATAAATCGTGTATGCCTTTACTAAGATTAACTGTTTCTATCTGTCTGTTACGCTTGAACGGTAAACCGCTGAACAGTTCCTGATGAATAATAATAATAATAACTGCACCCATCTCACACACGGCAGTCTGATCCCAAACTAGGCAGAGCCTGTACTATGGTAACCAGACTGCTGATAAACATACTTATATATTTCTAAATATATACATTTGTAGATAAATTACATCCAGACATAAAACAAACGATCATGTCATACAATTATTTGTCATGGGTGGGTATCGAACCCTCTGGGCTTAGCAGCCAGAACACCAGGCTAGCCGATAATATATAATTATGTTTAGTATTAGTCGAGATCATCACAGGAGAAAGAAAACGGTTACGTTTAAATGATAACTCTTGAACGGGGAAACAAAATAGAGAATGGAACTTTATGAAAAAAAACTAATCTTTTTCAGGGATGTAAAGTTTTAAGGATTTTTGCATCCCTAAAGATGTCATCATCATCATCATCAACAGCCTTTACTAGTCCACTGCTGGTCATAGGCCTCTCCTCAGAAAGGAGGTTTTGGCCTACTATACCACGCTGGTCAGACGGGTTGGTATAAGGTTTGTTTCTAGTTTTCCTTCTCTTTGCAGTGTGGTTGTTCTGCGTAGTTTACTCCCTTAGTCGGCTCTACGACACCCTCGGGATGAATAGGGGTGGTGACACTGTATTCTTAATCCGTTACCACACAGTATTTTTTCGTATACTAAGTTCCAAGCACCTGCTATTTGACAAAATGGTGTTATCCAGTAGGGTTGGGGTATATACAGCGTTACTGGGTAAGTCGACCTAGATACTTTAAGGGGTTGTAGTTGACATCATTTCTGATAGATTTTACTATGAAAAAATACCATATCCTAAACCTAACCATTTTCAAGATATATTTTGCCTAAAACAATTTGTTTGTAACTTTTGCCCTCAATTTTTTCTTTTTGTTTTACAGTTTTTGTGTCGATACATTGTTTTATAATTGTCATCACTAAAATTGTATTTAATTTACCAAACTGGGCCGAAGTATATGGTTGATAATAGAAAAATGCAATAAATTTATAAAGAATATTGTTTTCTTTTAGCAATATTTAAAAAAATCTATGACAGTGTTAAAAACATCTACGTATTGTCAGCTATCTTACAAGGTGGTAATAGTCTAGGTAAGTATCAGAATTCATTGAAAAAAAAACTTTGATGAATGACTGATGATCATAATTGAATAATAAGCACAGAGGGAACATGGGGCATTCCCACACAGGGGGGGGGGGGGGTCGTCGGGGCACCAGGGAATTCCTTTCTAGGGTACACCTGGTTCCCCGACTACTGGTACCTGAGACGGCGTGCGGTTTTAGTCGGTTCGAGTCCGACATTGCAACCGGTAAGTGGTATCCGAGGGGATTTCCGCACAGAAAAAAAAAGTGTATAACTCAGTTAAAAAACTTTGCAGGTTTTTTCAAGTTTGGGATATGGTATTTCATAGTGAAATCTATCTATACAAATAAATAAAATAGAAGTCGTTTTTAATGTCAAAATAATTGGTGTCTTTCGTGCTCACACGGTTATTTGCACGATACCGATATATATACGAGTAACTTAGGCTATTTTTCCTCTCAGAAAAACCTTTGCCCAGTCCAGGAATTGAACCCACTAAGGCGTCGCTTTTAAAATACCACGCGAAAGAAGTCGCGGGTATCAGCTAGTCAGTAATATATTATCTAGGTCGACTTAACCAGTAACCCTGTATATACCCTATCTAATATATAAAAATCTCGAGTCGCGGTGTGCGTGGTTGAACTCCTCCTAAACGACTCGACCGATTTTCGTGAAATTTTTTGTGCGTATCGGGTAGGTCTGAGAATCGGCCAACATCTATTTTTCATATCCCTATTTTTTTTCTTGAATAATTTTTTTTGAAATAATGTAATACTGGCAAAACAACGTTTGCCGGGTCAGCTAGTACTATATATAAAATGTACTAAACATCACTATTTTAAAACGTAGCAGTTTGCAGTTGTCCATGGGCGGTGGTACTCACTTGCCATCAGGCGAACCGTCTGTTTGTTTGCCCACACCATAAAAAAAAAACCTTCGATTTGCAGGTGACAGAGCTGAAACAGCTCCGTTCCTTAGTGAAGGAGTCGGATCCCATCCGGATACTTTCCGTGGCCCAGTTCAGACCAGAGAAAGACCACCCGCTGATGCTCCAAGCGATGTACGAGCTAAGGAACCTTCTCGTCAAGAACGAAGTGCTTTGGAACAAGGTCAGTTTTGATTGTCCTGCTAAAATAACCGCAAAAGTTTATTAGTATAGATGATTAAAATAAAACGGCTAAAACGGCTGAAGTCATTATTATGGAAACACTATCTTTATGTGTATGTTTTTTTTTATGGTATAAGGGGGCAAACGAACAGATAGGTCACCTGATGGTAAGCAACTACCGCCGCCCATGGACGCCGGCAACTCAAAAGTCACAAGTGCGTTGCTGCCCTTGGAGTCCCTCCCGCTTGAGTAATCGGGAGGGGGTATTTGGGCGCCGGTAACCTCACTCATTCAGTGAAAGGAAACGAAAGAATTGCTTAACACCGGTTTTCTGTGAGGCCGTGGTATCACTCCGGCTAGCAGGCCCATTCGTCGGCTCTCCCACAGTAGTTCGGTTATTGCTTTAAACAGCCTATGTCCTTCCTCAAGAATCAAACTATCACCATACCAAATTTCATCAAAATCGGTTCAGCAGTTATTAATTCCCTCCACAAGATTCCACCCCCCCCCCCCTTTTCACATCCTTAAAGGACGATTTCTAGGATAAAAACTATCTTCTAACTCAAACTATCGCTATACCAAATTTCATATAAATCGGTTCAGCCGTTTAAGCGTGAAGAGGTAATAGACACACACTTACGCATTTATAATATTAGTATGGATGAAATTTTATGATTCAGGTCATCATCATCATCATCATCAACAGCCTTTAATAGTCCACTGCTGGACATATGCCTCTCTTTAGAAAGGAGGTTTTGGCCTACTATACCACGCTGGCCAGACGGGTTGGTACAGGGTTTGTGTCAAGTTTTCCTTCTCTCTGCAGTGTTGTTGTCCTGCGTAGTTTTTTCCCTTAGTCGGCTCTTACGACACCCACGGGATGAATAGGGGTGGTGACACTCTATTCTTAATCCGTCACCACACGGACCATGATTCAGGTCATAAACTATATATGTGCCCAACACACATGTAGACTACGACTTTGTTCAAGTAATAATTTCCTTTTTTACGTGTTTCTAACTTATCGACGAAATCCATACAACCGCTCATCCCTTATTTTGCCCCTCAGGGGTGATATTGCCAAAATCCTCTCTTCATCAAAGCATCATCTGCCAAAACTTCCAGTTTGTAGCCTCGGAGTTGATGAATCAATCAGTTGGGGCAAGTATTAAAAATGCCTAAAAGGCCGGCAACGCGTTTGCGACTCCTGAGTTGCAGACGTTCATGGGCGGCGATGGTCACTTTCCATCAGGTCTGTTCGTTTGCCCCCCTTAATATAAATAAAAAATAGACTCAATATCTGACTATTGATTGAAAGACTGGCGTAGTGATTTAAGCGGTCACCTCGTCGAATCCTACTGAGTGTTGTGGGTTCGATCCCCACTTGGGATAATACGTTGTGTCATTCACAAATTGTTCTGAGTCTGGGTGTTTTTGTGTCCGTTTCATGTATGTTTGTAAAGTCCCCCGCGACACTGGATATATTCCTAGTGCGGGAGCTGCCTTTAAAAAAAAATCTTTCTGTTAATTAAAGAGTGAACGAAATCGCTAATTAAAATAGTTCCTTTTCCATGTTAGATAAAGTTGGTGCTGGTCGGTTCGTGTCGCAACTCGGTGGACGAGGAGCGGGTCCAGAACCTGAAGGACCTGGCGAAGCACCTGGCGCTGGAGGACAGCGTCCAGTTCGTGGTCAACGCGCCCTACGCGCGCCTGCTCCAGCTCTACCAGACCTGCAGCCTCGCCATACACGCCATGTGGAACGAACACTTCGGCATCAGTTAGTACACCAATCCTCCTCCGAACCTTTTTCCCAAAGGGGGTCGGGTTTAGGTCTACTAGTGGAGCGACTGCCATCAGACCTAGGCGATATCGAAGTTCTGTAGAAAGACTTGTATGGTATCCAGGACTGATTGCTTAACGTGTTCTACGAGGCAGGCTTATTATAGTGCATTTTGTATACCATATTATACAGAAAAAATTCGGACAAGTGCGAGCCGAACTCGCCCACCGAGGGTTCCGTATACATTTGGAGGTACATTTACCTCCGATACCTCCACGCCTTTCCGAGATAAAGGGCCTTGACAGACAACAAAGTGATCTTATAAGGCTTTTTTTGCCAAATTTCGTGATTCTAGGTCAACGGGAACTACCATATAGGTTTTCGACCTAAAACCTATAGGGTACTTCCGGTTTGACCTAGAATTGTCAATTTTGGTTAAAAGCAAGGTCTTACAGCACAAGTAAAGAGAAAATTCTGAAAAATAAAAAAGTTGAAAATTTAGGGAAATTATGGTACTTACAAGTTTTCGCGAAAATCGAAATTTGCCCATATCTCTTTATCATGTTTACTCAGGACCATAGACCTCAGTATCTGGTATAAATTTCACCTTGCTAGGTCTACCCGTTCCTGAGTGGTGACACACGGACAGACGGACAAGAAAGTGATCTTATAAGGGTTCCTTTTTTACTTAAACCCTACCTAACCCTAAAAAAGATCTTTGATAGAAAAAAAATCGTATCTTTGTGTACGACCAAATCACAATCACATGTGAAATCTCTGTAACTAAATCTAATCATATCATCATATGAATATGATTTAAAAGTAGCAATAACTTCCAGGTCAATACTCAGCATCTTAGTTATTAGTATTATTATCTTCTTATGTTAGTTTAGTTTCTTAGATCAGCTGTACCATGTGCTTATTATCATGTGATGTACCAGGTGTGGTAGAGTGTATGGCTGCGGGTCTGATCACCATCGCCCATCGCTCCGGGGGCCCCCTGGCCGACATCATCGAGACCTCGGAGACCTCCCGGACTGGTTACCTGGCCTCGGAACCCGACGAGTACGCCAGGGCCATTCTAGAGGTTATCGCCTTGCCAAGTGATCAGAAGAAGAGAATTGTGGAAGCTGCAAGGTAAGGCTTACTCTCTTTAGTATGTTCAATATGACTGCACCGGAAGGCGTAGTGGTTTAAACGGTCACTTCGCCGTTTCCTACTACCCTGAGTGTTGTGGGTCCGATCCCCACATGGGACGACACTTTGTGTGATCCACAAATTGTCGTTCTGAGTCTGGGTGTTCTTTTTGTTCGTTTTATGTCTGTTTGAAAAGGGCCTATTATAAAGATATATTGTTAAGTTTGTTGTTATAACCGAGGGCAACGCCTAAGTTACTCCTTATGTCATCAGCTATTTGCCAGTGAAAGTCCCGTCGAAATCGGTCCAGCCGTTCCAGAGATTACCCGGAACAAACAGACAGACAAAAAATACATATGCATTTAGTTAAAAGCGGTTATTTAATATTACAAACAGACACTCCAATTTTATTTATTTGTATAGATGTGTGAGTTGTCTTTATATATATATATAAAAAAAGTAAATTACAATCTATGATCACATCAACAGTCTTTAACAGTCCACTGCTGGACATAGGCCTCTCCTTAGAAAGGAGGTTTTGGCCTACTATACCACGCTGGCCAGACGGGTTGGTATAGGGTTTGTGTCAAGTTTTCCTTCTCTCTGCAGTGCTGTTGTCCTGCGTAGTTTGCTCCCTTAGTCGGCTCTCACGACACCCACGGGATGAATAGCGGTGATGACACTCTGTATTCCTAATCCGTCACCACACGGACCTCCGTGTGGTGACAATCTATGATACGGTATTTTTCTTGTTCTCAGAGCGTCAGTTGACCGTTTCTCCGAGATGGAGTTCGAGAAAGCATTCCTTCGCGCCGCTGAGCCTCTCTTTGCACTTGACTAGTTTGTAAGTAGGTACTTAACGAGTACACGAATTCCATTAGATATAAGAGGTTATAATAATAAAGTTGAACCAAAGCTTAAAAATAGTGTCTTAATTATACTCCCTTTTTGTACTTACTGTATACTTATGTCTTCAAACAGTGTTGATGTTTAAAATGGTTGTACGTTGTTTTATAGAATTTCGTTTAATGTTAAAAAAAATGATTTGTAAACTTTGAAAAAATTAATGTTTAGCTTATAATCTATACAAAAAAAAAGTGAACCTAATTATAAATTGTGATCTTGATTTAAAAAAAATATATATTTTCGATAATTTAAATTAAAATACTTCATTAAATAATAATAATATATATATTTATAGAGAAATTTATAAAACAAAATTACGGTTGTTTTGCATTTCTTCCCGCTTTGTAACCAGTGATCGAATACTTTTCCGTCCCTGTACGAAACCAGTTGCGATCGAAGATTTGATCTTATTTTTTTCGTAGCCAGTTACGATCGAAGCTTTTTTTTGTTTTTCTCAAATTTGATATAGTAGCGATTCTTCGTCTCTCGATCTCTTTTCGTTAAAAAGTCTGTGCTCTGGATGCCCGGACAGACAGACAGATTAGTCTCGTGAATATGGCTCCCTTTCGTTGCGTACAAAATTGGAAATTCCAAGCGATAGAATTAAAATAAAGAAAGAGTAGCAAACGTAGAAAAAAAAATTAAATATTAATACTGAATTAACATCAAATTGGTAACAATTAAAATATTTTATTATTCATATGAAAATAAATTAAAAATTAAAACGTAAAAGCATATTATTCCAAGACATTGCCCTACAGAAATGGTTTTCTTTTAATTATATTAGGGCATTTTGGATCTCTTCATCAACTGCGACCTAAAAATCAATTGTAATTTTCTCAGGTTTCAATTATATGGAATAAAATTGTAAATGTTTGTGTCGTTTTGTTGGCGAGGAAGCAAGAGATCAAAGGAACTACAGACTAGCTTTGTTCGTTAACGCCATGTATGGTGTAAAGCTGCTTAAATCCGACTGGACACGACTTGAATGTTGAATGGTCGATTTAAGCATATTCTTGCTTGCTATATTTTTTACACAGAACAATATAATTCTTTTGTTATTCTCTTCTTCGTCGTCGAAAATCTAGAAAAGGTTTTCAGGTATTTTTTCTTCATTAGCTACTTTGAATCTTCTTTTTTGTCATCTTGGTGTTGTCATCAGTCGCCACTAATATTCCTATGTCCTTACTATACAGTAATTTTTCTTCAACAGGTTCAGAAAATGGATTATTCGGATTCATTATTCTTAAGAAATATTTTTTATCATCGTCACTACTTATCTTACTATATCCTCAATAGTAGCCTCATCAACGCCAATGTTTTCAATAACCCATGGGTTTTTCCCACCATCAGTTAAGAAACGCATTTCATCACTTGCTCTTAAATTCTGATACTCTATTTTCTTAACATTCCAAAGCCTTCTAACATTGTCGCAACCAATGATCAACCGTGATATAGCTCCAAAAGCATTTATTATTTGTGTTCTGAGCAATTGAAGTGTAGTAGCTGCAACAGCATTAAAATCATCTTGGGGATTCGCTCCAATTGGTTTTAAAGAGCTAGTTTAAACTCCATATTGCCCCACAAAAGCACCATCTTGAAACCATGACGTATATTCACCATATCCTTCAGGAAATAGTATAGTTTTTTCTTTACTAGGATTTATTCCAAATAATCTGTAAACACTGTAAATGAGACTTATCAACTTTGCAAGATTTTGGATTGAATCAGCCACAAATACAGTCATGGAATCGTCGCTTGATCTGAGGCTCCTAACTATTGTATTTTGAACATTGATCCCACTTATTGCTACCAATCCCATAGTTGTCGAACATGCGTTAAGCATACCCATTAAAAACCCTGCAGAAGCTTCAACATAATCTTCATTATCTATTTTGCTATTTATTTTATTAAACCATAGCCTACTTTTCTCATTTAATTGTTTATCATCTATTTCACACCATTTCATCCTATTGTAGAAATCACTCTCTTCTAGTAGGAAACCAATTCCAAGATTTATTCTCTTTATCAATAAATAACAGAATCCCATTGTACTGATTTTAATGAGAACCTTATCTTCCACTGTCGCAGGTTTCAAACCATTTTTTTAAACTTATTTCATCATTAATCCAACATTGGTGGACAATAGCAAACATTAGAGGGTTCATGCATTCATTCCATTTTGATGCGTCCTCTGTCCCCTGGAGACTATATGATGTCCTGAAACCCTCTTTCAGAGATGACATTTGAAGTTCGTTCATTATCTTCTTCTTCTCTTCCCCACCTATGCTTATCGTACTTCCTGGCAAACTTTTGGCCATATATAAATGAAACTCCTCTATTATTTTTAACTGCAGCCTAATTACTATTGAACCGGATGCTATTGCTCTTCTATCAAGTTTGCCCCTTTCCACATGTTTGATATAAGAATAAAAAGATCTTGAGTAATCATCTAACCATCTATTACATTCTTCCTTTCCCTTTATTATTCTCCTTGTAATAAATGTTTTTCTACTAGACACTTGCATCCTCATTTTGAGTTTCTTTATGTACTTCTTTTTAGAGACAACAATTACTTTTTGTGCTTTCACAATCAACTTTATTTTGTTATACATCTCATAGCAATAGATAATACACTCCAAAAGCGTACTTGGAGTCTTCCCTAGATTCCTTTTTATTAAGAACAAAAATCCATTGAATGCTTTTGAACATGTTGTGCTTTTAAATGTTTCAGGATCCCATGTTTGTCTCCCTTTACTAAGTACATCTGAATTACTGGTTTTCAAAAAATCCATAGTGTGTCTCATCCCGTCACATATTGTGTCAAAATTATTTATCAAATATAATTGCGCAAATTTCCAAACAATTCCAGGATTAAAGTTGCCTACTATCCCTGAGTTTGGGTACCTCTTTAAGTTATTGATCTGTGCGTCAATAATTTTGTGATTGTTTATTTGTTTTATGCTGTCTTTGTCATCTTTTTTGTTGTAGCTATAGGCTCTATTTACTGAGGCAGCTACATAAGGTACTGGGCTCCCATACCCATGTGGATGTGGATTAGTATATAAATATGTACCACTCATCATATGTAATCCATTTGTTGCTTCTGGACTACAGGTACACTTTTCAACTTCCTGATCAAAATTATCGATACCTTTTACAGACTTCGCTCGAGGTCGTTTTTACCTGGTGTTTTAAAGACTAAGAAACTCACCACTGCTACTTTTTTTTAATAATTACAGTCGCGACAGATGTGTTTGTAGCCTCCGCTGTTCTATTTTGCAAATGTCTTAAATTTTTTACGCCATCTTCAGCTTCCTTCTTCATAAAACAGTTTACATGGTAAACCATTTTTCTGGCCTGTCTATTCAAAACAGTGTTTTTCTTGTCATTTTGTACCTAAAGAGAACAAAAATAAATATGTAATAGATACTTTTTACACAATAAAAATCGAAGCATAACTTCATTCGAAGTTTATAGTTATGTTTACCGGAATTAACGATAGGTATTATATATTTGGATATAATATAATGATATAAAATAAAACTCGATAGTTCATTTGAATTTATATATTAAATAAGTTTTTTTTTTGTATTAGAGCACAATATATAGTCTCCATTTCAAGGGGATGTAATGGTGCGCCAGGCAGCCCCTGTAAATTTTCACAAGGTGTTCGAGAAGTATCACGTCACACCATATCAGCAGGCCTGGAAAGATACCATCTAGTCCTGGCGCCTTGAATGGTAGGAAGCTGTTAATCGCCCATTTAAGTTTATTACTTTTGACAACTTTGCGGGCCGTGTCCCAGTCTGTATCGTCTGGTGTTTTTCCACCTGTCTTCCCATGTTTCCATCACATCTGTTATACGACATCCTGGGAAGTGTGTTATCAATAACAGCTCTGAGGCTTCTGAGTCTGTTTTGGTGTACTCACCGTCAGGCTTCTTCAGTGAACCAAGATTGTGCTCGCCTCTGCTACACGATATGATTTTGATTCTTTTGGCCTGGTTGTTGATCTCTATTTTGTACAGAAGCTTCTCTAGCACTCTGTTTCCCTGGTTCTGATTCACTTCTTGTATTAATGCTTGCGTATAGGCATCCAAGTGTTGGTCTAGTCGGGCGTTTTATTGAACAACTTTCCAGTTGCGGTCCAAACCACTGGTGTCCGTTCTGTGGTCCGGTTCTGGGTGTAGAGAGTAGGCATGTTTGTTCCAAGCAATTGGTCAGTGTTTGTGTAAGGTTGACAACATGACTGTCAATATTCTTCACAGTCCCCTGAGCATATGTTGAGTCAATGCTTCGCAGTTTTTCCGCAGTAATATACTGATACCGTTTCCGGTCCATCTTACGGGGATACCGTCGGAAATCGGTTGGTTTAAGAATCATTTCAAATTTGAATTTGATCCAGTGATGGTCCAAACGCGATGCTTCGCTCTGTACGGGATGTATTTGGAGACACATTGAAGCAACGAGATCTCGAGTATGACTCCTAATTTATTATAATAATCATTGTTTAAATAAGATAGAAATGGGGTTACACGTGGAACTTAATTACAATATTATAACTAAGGCATCCTATACACTACATCACCCTTCTTACAGAAAAAAAAAAACAAAATACATATATTTATTTTACATACTACGAGAGCGGGTCAATAAGTCCGTGACTTTTGGAATAAAACACAGATTTTTTGATAAATAAATAATTTTATTTTTCAACGTAGTCTCCCTTGAGCTCAATACACTTTGTCCAACGCTTCTCCAATTTTTTTATCCCTTCCAAAAAATATGATTTGTCGAGGTCCTCAAAATAGGCCTTTATTTGCGAGATGATTACCTTGAAGATGACAGTGAGTTGCTTCCAAATGACGTTTTAGTTTATTAGGAAACATACTTTCAGCCGCCAACACTTTATGACAAACAACACATTGAGGAAGTTCTAAACTTCCTTTAGTAATGTAGGTAATTCCGAAATCCAAATATTGATCGTCATATTTTCTATATTTCTTCCGTTTTTCTGAAGTTTCGTTACCGCTCCCTCCTTCAGTTCGTTTTCCATTTTTTTGAATAGAATTATCCGCCATAGTGAATTTCAAAGCTAAAATTAAAAGCGTGCGTAATCTATCAAAACACAAACTTGACTAAACGATGCCAACGTATGCATTACCCGCGTGCGGGAGGGGGGGGGGGGGGGAGGTGTTATTGGCAGAGGACGGCCCGCGCCCGCGTCTCGTACTGACCACTCGCTCCAGCCGCCCGCTCCCGTCGCCTACTCCCGCCGCATCACAATGCACATGGCTATCTGTGCACATGGCGCTCTCTCGACTCGGTCGCATAGACACAGACAGCCAACCTATTTAGATCGCCTCACACGCCCCTTGGATTGTACCGCGGCGCCCCAGGGCGTCGCGACGCACAGTTAGGGAAGCCCTGACTTAGGTAAAGTAATATACATAAGGTTAAGAACGATACAATTTTGTCCTGTTTTTATGAATAATATCTAACTTATTATTTTTAATTATTTCTACATTAGGTGTTATATCTCTAACTACTTTATAAGGACCTGAATCTTAATCATCAAATTTATTACCTACTTCATTTCTTACTAAAATTAGATCATTTGCATTACATTTAATAGGATTTGTATATTTATCATAATTAGTTTTTCTTTTTAACCGACTTCAAAAAAAGGAGGAGGTTCTCAATTCGACTGTATTTTTTTTTTTTTTTTTTTTGTATATTTGTTACGCGATTACTCCGGCAATTATAAACCGATTTGAATAATTCTTTTTTTATTTGATAGGTCATACGTCAGAGGTGGTCCCATTGTCACCAGGTCAGGATCTGATGATGGGATCCTGGGGAAATCGAGGGAAACTCTCAAATTTTGTAGACATATACACTGTTTATCAGAAATTATCTTAATCTATGTAGATTTTTGCATCTAATGGTCACCATCTGATGTTGCTGAGCTGATGACGAAGCTGATGATGAATGGTTTAGGAGTATGGGATCTCTGTAACAAAATTATGTAATACCATCGAATTTGAATGTGTTTGAGTCTAATTAATAAGGACTCCGATCCTATGTGATATTCAGGGTATGATGATGGAGACGGTAAATAGCCGTGGGAACTCTGTAATAAAATAAAGCAATTCCGCCGTGTTTGTGCTAATTTGATTAAATCCTGCATTATGTTTGTCCACGGCACCTTTTTTTTTTTTTTTTTTTTGTTGACGGGGTGGAAAATCCCTTCGGATCTCCGGCTCCTCGGGGACCCAGAAGCCAGGAGTATGTGGTGATTCCACTAAAAACCACCCCGACGGCCGGCCTTAGGTGTCCTACTCTGGGGAGGACCCGGACCATGTTATCTCAGGTCCTCCCCGAATTGACACCATGCCTAATCAGGCCCTATCCCAGGGGAGAACACTTCCCCCTTCAATCGCGGCATGGCGGCCCGATCGCATCTTAATGCAATCAGGCCGGCCATTCCATTCCCTACCGCAGCAATCAATCTGCCACCAGAGGTCCCCACTCTCTGGCGGCCTTGTCCACGGCACCTAGGATACACGGATACGATAAACATTTTTAGAGTTGGGCTGTGAGTGTGAGCGTTTATTTATGACCTTAAAAATCACACTTACTTCCCACAAAAAATTAAAAAATAAAATTATTTAAAAAAAAAATTGAAAACTTCAAACAACTAAAAAGCAATTTTAATTACTTACTTCAAACATTCAACAAAATTATTGATACTTAGAAAACCTACCTATTTACAATTTTTAATCAGTTATTTTTCAACAAACCAACAAATAAAAAAAATACGCGATTACTCCGCCAATTATGAACCGATTTGAATAATAATTATTAAAGAAAACTAGGTACCTAATTGTTGGACAGATCACGCAAGCGTGTCATTTCTGTTAATGATTTTTCGTCGTGGGGTCGATTTAATAGCTTATTTGCATCCAAATCAGATATGGCAATGCCATTTAAGGTTTTGACGCGACTGAGGGCTACATAAATCTGTCCTTTAGCGAAATTCTTCTTTCCTAAATCGATCACTGCTTTATCAAGGGTTGTACCCTGAAGTTTGTGAACGGTTACTGCCCAGCTTAAGATGAGCGGTAACATTCTTCGTTCGACATCTCCATATCCTCTTTGCGCTTGAAATGTTGTACAAGCAGGTGAGATTGCTACACAACCGTCATTATCTTTTGTTCTATGGCCAACAGTCGCGTCATCAAATTTTATAAGCACAGATTCAGGCAACTCGCCTTCCTCCAATTGATCTCTTCGGAGAGCAGGCCATTTAATTTTCTTAACAATGCCCATGGCACCATTCACGAGCCCATCAGATACGGAAATATTCCGCCTTAACATGACTCGCGATTCGATACTCAACTTTATAGTTGGCAAGAAACCACCGCAGTTATTAATGTCTTTAGGAATAACATTTTCAGGTGGCTTCCTACCATAGGTTGCCGCCTCTCGAGACTCATCTACAGCATTTATTGTGTACATGCGGTGCGCTT